GATTTCAGTTAAATTTAAAGAATTAATGGAAGTTAAAAAATCAAAAATTCACAATTTAACTGAAATTTCTGAAAATTAATGAAAAATAATATATAATTTCTAACTATTTACAATTATATCGGTTTGTTTCAATGCAAGGAACACAATTATTTTTATATTTAAACTTGAATTTAAATAAATACAAAATTTTTCAGCTAAAATGGGAATTTTTTTTAACTTTCATTATCTTATTAAATTTACCTCAAATGTATACTTTATATATACCAATCGATTCGTTTTCATGCAAGGAATACAATTATTTCATATATAAACTTCAATTTAAAAAATCACAAAATTTTATTGCCAAAATGTGAATTTTTGATTTTTCAACTTTTCATTAATTATTTAAATTTAAATTGAAACTATACTTTATATATACCAATTGATTTGTCTTGACGTAAGGAATACGATTTTGTTATATATAACCTTAAATTTTTCTATTTAAAAATTTTTTCGATTAAAAAAAAATTTTGGAAAAAAGACGAAAAAAATTTTTTTTTTTTGTATTTTTTAAATTCCTTTGGTCAGATTTGAGATATTAATATGATAAATGAGCCTATAAAATTGTATCTAAATCCATTAAAACCTGTCTAAACAAAAAAGGGATCCATACACATACACACATCCGGATAATTGATCAGGATCTCATATAAAATGTTTCTATATTGAAAAAAATTTGTTTCCGCCACTTGGAAAATTTTTATTAGCGAAAGGACTACAAAGCTTCCTCCACGAGGAAGCAAAACGATAAGAGGTGAGCCATTTTATATGAGAATACGTTGTCATGTCTCGTATTTTTCTTAAAATTCAGCAAATTGTAGTGATAGTGGTGCTAAATAAGTGTACAAATTTTGAATTTGAAATTTTTAATATTTTTCGAGGTATAATAGAGATATAATAGAGAAAAATGTTGGGAATGTTTTTTACGCAAAACTTACGCATAAACTTTTAGAAAAAAATATTAATTTTTAAACAATTTGTTTATAACTTTTAAACATGTTCTCCCTCATTTTGAAGCGCGAAAAACAAACATTAGAATATTTATTAAAATCCGCATCCAACGAGCCCTATATGAACTATTTCTGATAAACGGGTGTGAAATTAATAATTAATAATAAAAATTATTTAAATAATTAATAATATTTGAAGAAATGAAGATAAATCGTCAATTCTTATTTGATTTGGAAGATCATCTAATTCTGTGTTAAATAAAACCAGTGTAAATAGCATTTTCAACAATCCAAATTATAAACAGATGATTATTATTCAATCGTTGTTTCAACACCTCACAGCACAACTCGTCAGAGGTTGCCTACCTATACTAGGCATGGTATTTTTCAGACTTTCTTTAAATAACATTTTATAATTAATTTTCGATTCTTAGTAATACTTACTATTCTTTTTTCGACTCAGAATTAGATGATCTTCCAAATAAAAAAAGAATTGACGATTTATCTTCATTTCTTCAAATGTTATTAATTATTTAAATAATTTTTATTATTAATTATTAATTTCACACCCGTTTATTAGAAATAGTTCATATATGGCTCGTTGGATGTGGATTTTAATAATCATTCTAATGGTGTTTTTAAAATTACTCTAATTTTATTTGTTCGTAAAATATTTCATTTTTTATTAACTTTTGTTAGTTAATTAATTAATATCTCGAAAACAAACAATAATGCCATCTCAAAAATTTAACCATCGATTTATTACGACTTAAACAAAATTCATGATATTTTTCGCGCTTCAAAATGAGGGAGAACATATTTAAAAGTTATAAACAAATTTTGTTTTTTAAACAAATTGTTTAAAAATTAATATTTTTTTTTAAAACTAATTTTTTTCTAAAAGTTTAAGGTCTTTCTCGTAAAAAACATTCCCAACATTTTTCTCTATTATTAGTAGTGAAAAGTTATAAGCAAAGCAATTCTTATTTTGAATTTAGTGAAGTAAATATAAAATGCTATCAAATTTTATTAATATTGAAGTATATGATATTTACTATATTTAAAAAGAAATTATACATAAGTTCAGATTAAAAAAAATTTTTACACAACGTATATTTACAAAAATTTTAATTGCCCAATTCCAAATTAATATAATTAAAACTATTATCATTACTCTGGCTAATAGTTAAAATATATAACATTTTTTTTAAATTAAAAAATTCTTAAACAATAGTAAATTTGTAAAAAATATATGTAATGGATTTACTAGTCATTGTGACGAAAAATGAAATAAATAATAAAGGAATTATTAAAATTAAGTAATTTGTTTTATTTAAATAAGAATCAATTAAAATAAATTGTTGCATATATTTTTTTTATAACTATTTTTAAAAAATATTCAATCAATAACATTTAAATTCCAATATATAATAATAAATAATAGAAATAAAATAAAATTTCAAATTTCGTTTAATTACTAACAGATTTTATTTACTTCTTGTTTGAAAATTATTTACATTATTATAAATTTGATAAATTTGATTGTCATATTTGTAAATATGAAAATTTGAGAAACACTAGTCAGGGTAAAATTATGAATTTATATTGTGTTCCCAAAATGATCGACTTTAACAATTATTATTGCATCCACTTCCAAATATTATTTCCTTTTTTCCATTTGTTATTCTGAGTCTATCTATTTCTCCTTGGATATTCGAAACAATATGACCTCCATATTGGTTTTTATTGCTTCCAACATTTCCATTGTCAACATTGTTACTATTTCCTCCACTGCTCATATAGTTTATGTTGTTGTCATTTCCCACATTGTTTCCACTTCCTCCATTGCTTCCATTTCCTCCAGTGTTTCCACCTACATTGAAATAAAATAAGATCATAAGTAACAGCAAGAATATTGAATATTGATTTCGAAATGAATTCTGACGTTCGTTTAAAAAAAAAACAGTATATCAAGAAAATCAAGATAGCCGTAGGACAGGGAAAATTTTTGTTTTCCAAGGAAACTTGATATATTGAAAATTTATATTACAGAAAAAGGCAACCCACATAGCACGGCTTCTTGCTGTGGGGTTACTGTAAGGATATCTGTAGGTTTTGTAAGGTTACCGTGTAAGTCTGCAGTAAACTTGAGGTAATCTTAAAACTTTCGCCTTACAGTAAACATACACAGTAAAGCTAAGGTAAGCTTACACTGTAAGGTCGTGGTAAGTTTACATGGTAAGGTTGTAGTAAGCTTACACTGTAAGGTTGTTGTAAGCTTCCTTTAAGGTTTCTGTAAGGTTGCTGTAAGGTTACTGTAAACATAGAATGTTATTAATAAATAAATTTTATTAATATTGATGCGCAGTAGTTTTCTATGGCACATACGGCTGCGCAGTAACTTTTATTTGACACACCCTATTGGGGTTCATGAAGTACTTCACCAAATATATAATTTTTTATAAAAAAAATTTCTAATATAATATATATTATAATATAATTATTTTTAATATATTTTCATATTACTTTATGTTTACAGTAACCTTACAGCAACCTTACAATAACCTTACGGGAAGCTTACAACAACCTTACCGTGTAAGCTTACCACAACCTAACCACGTAACTTACCACGACTTTACTGTGTAAGCTTACCTTTGCTTTACTATCTAAGCTTACTGTAAGGCGGAAGTTTTAAGATTACCTCAAGTTTATTGCAGGCTTACACGGTAACCTTACAAACCCTACAGATATCCTTACAGTAAACTCACAGCAAGAAGTCGTGTTATGTGGGAATGTACTTTTTGAAAACGTAAAATTTTTTAACAATTTTTGATTCTTAAAGGGATAATACTTTATCATCTATTCACCTTTTTTCACTCATTAAAATTTTGTCACCTATTTTGATAATTTCTTAATTTTTTCACCTTTCTCATGCTTTGGTTAATTCACGGATGCAATATTTAAAAAATAATAAAATGTACAATTTAAAAACATTGATTTAAGCTCAGGAATGTTAAAAAAAAATGTTAACATTTCTTGACATTCCTCAAGAATATAATTATTACTTTGGAGAGCAGAAAATTGACAGATTTTTTTCTTTTCTATAAATGATTCAATTCACCAATGCTTGCATTATTCAAAATTTTTCATTAATTTAAAAATTATTTAAACCAAATATCAATAAATCTATATTTAAATTAGTTAAGGCATTTATTGCGATTAACATTGTAATCGATCAGCTATCAATTTAATCAATCCAAAATTCATTTTACACAAATTTTAAATCTCTTCAAATTTTTAGAACACATTTCAATTTAATTAAATCTTAATCAATTCAAAATTTAATAGATCCAAACTACAATTCATTGTAAAATTTAATTAAAATTTCAAATGATTCAACTTTAAATCAATTATAATTTATATTTATATTATTATATCAAATTTTTAGAATTTTAATTAATCCCAGATGTTGACAAAATAAAATTGTTGTCTGTAAACAACGGAAATTTCATCGGATTAAAATATTTTAGTTTAAGTTGATATGTTAAATGGAGTCTTTTTTAAAATGTACAAAAAAATTGCAATTCGAATAAAATTGTAAAGAAAATATATCTAGGGAAAAAATGTTTGATCATCAAATATGATGATTTGAAATTTTAATGAAGGTTTTGAGGAAAATGGTACATGTGATATTTAAAAAAAATGATTACCTTCACTCTCCGTTTCGCATCCAATGCAACATAGTTTTGAGGTACACCCGTTTCTGCGACTACCTAATTAAAGAACAATTAATTTTTAATATCGAAATAATAAAATTTTTCTTTATAATCAAATTGTAATATTCAAACAAAATAATCATTTCATAAATTAAATCTGAATTTGTTAATTCTGTAAATTGATTTTGTCTTGATCATATATATTATATAAAATATAAGAAAAAATAAAATTATGATCATTTTCTAGAGTGTGTTTTACACTATAGGAAAACATTGTATTACACATGTAAATTACCTGGACGAGCAAAAGAGTGAGCAACAAGTAGAAGGGTGAAGAAAAGCACAAAACATTTAACAGATGCCATGATCAAAAATCACAATTTTTCCAAAAAAGAGTTGCTGTTTTTCTTTTCTAAAAATGGGCAATTGTCGTCTTAAAGAGCCAAAAGATACTGAAGTTCTAAGTTCTTTCAAGACCTTTATATGTATATTCGTTTTGTCATCGATTGCGTCCTCTAAGGGGAAGTTGCATACCCCCACTCTACCTGCCGGGCCCTAAACACGGTGGCAGTGTCCAAGTTAGCCCCGTGAGGGGAAGCATTATACCCCCACTCTACCTGCCGGGCCATAAACACGTGGCTCAAGGGGTGCGATCATCAATTCGCTCCCGTGAGGGGAAGTAACCTTCCCCCACCATGCGGACAGGAGCCTGAGTTCGAGTGTCGGAGCGAACTAGCACCGCGGGGGGCCGGGTCCCTTTAGATTTTCCAAGTTTTCCTTAATGGCTTTTTCTACATATAAATAAATTTTTTGTAATAACAACATTTTTAAGTTTTTTTTATCAAATTCGAAATCCTTACTTTATTACAATTTCATACATATGTTGTTTGACTTAAAAATGTTGATATTTAAAAAGTTTATAATTCGAACATTTTCTAAATATCTTTCTTCCTACAAATAACCGATTACTTGTCTATTATGAAATACACTATAAAAACATATAATTTATAATAAAAATAGAGCAACCTTGCTATGGTAAACGTCGTTATGGTGACCGTTGCTATGGTTTCGAACTTTTTTTATATTGGAATCAAGTTAATTATTTGAAACAAATAGAATTTTTTTGAAACAAATAAGAATTTTATAGTTGGCTCTGAGTCAAGAAATGTTATTTTTATTCAAATCGCTGATAACTCTTTTATTATCAAATAAATATTTACTTAAATCAAATAAATTGTATTTCAATTAATTATTTAACTATTAATTAAGTATTGTAACAAACATCCAAGAGTTTATTATTGCCAGAAAAGTTTTTGAATTATTTCTTCTATAATATGGGGGATTCCATATGAAGTGATCAAGGTGAAAAAAGTTTTTTCTCCAATCATACCCAAACATAGGGCATTTTGTAGTACTATTAGATGGTAATTTTTAGTAAAAATATTTTTCTATTTTAACCAATATTTTTTAGGGGGTGGAAGTTTTAGGATACCCTTTACTTTAATAATTTCTATCTCTCACACAATTGAATAAAAAAATTTTGCCAATATCAGTTTTGATAGGTTTTTTTATGCCCTTTTGATTGGTAATATGCATTTTTGAAAAAAAAAATTTTTGACCAAAAAAAAAATGAAAGTCAAAAATAAATTTGACTTTTTTGGGGTATGTCTCATTATAAAAACGCTATTCTTTACAATAGAATAAAAATATTTAATAATAGGTAATATGAAGTAATAAAACAAAATATATGAATTTCTTTTGTAAATTTATTATTTATTACTACAATTTACCGAATTTTGAGAAGAATCCGAGACATGACCCCGTATTCTCATATGAAATGTCTCAGGTACACAAAATCTGACAAAGTTTTGTGGTCACTCAATAAATTAAAAATATTTACTTCTAGTAAATTAAAATATAACTAGGTTAAATTTAAAATGTTGTTTGTTTAAATAAAAAAATCCATGTGGGATTTTTCTTTCTTTCTTTTACCCTTTAAAATGAAGCTTAAAGTCTACACCCAGAGAAAAGATTTCTTTTTCTGTTTCAGGTTTTACTAATAAATTTTTTTTCTGTTTCAGGTTATACCAGGGTTGGGTACGTAAACTACCTTAGGTAATATACGCACTGAGAAAAAAGGTTTGAGCTGACAACCAAATATTTCATTGAATACCCGGATCAAATAACTCGACCGACGCTCGGACGCACGCTCTAATGGTAGCCGGATAGCAGTGAGTCGCCCACAGGCTGTCACTGCTACTTGACTGGTAATAGAGCGTTCGTCCGAGCGTCGGTCGACTTATTTGATCCGGGTATTCAATGAAATATTTGGTTGTTAGCTCAAACCTTTTTTCTCAGTGCGTAGTTCTTTACACGTAGATTACCTACCCAGTAAAAAAAGATTTATTGAGCAAGCGATTTGGCTGATTGAGCAAGCCGTCTGCCCAATTGTCTAAACGACATTCGGACAATTGGACTGTTTGCTCAATCATCCAATGCATTATGCCCAATCACCAACATTGTATTTCGCGTCTAATAAAAGAAGAAATTGGTCCGAGTGTTGAGAAAATGATAAATCATGAATAATTATTGTTAAAAAGCAAGAAGTAATATATAAAAATACCTGAAATAAGAATAAATAACGAGTTTTGTAAAATGTTATTTTTTAGTTGACAGTGCACTGATGTAATATGAATTTTGTCGGTAAAAGTGAGGAGTATGACAAAGAGAAACGTTTCTTTATCGACTCGTGATACATTTCAATTGATAATAAAAAATTGTAGATTTCTTGTTTTTTTAAAAAATAAGGAGAAATTTCAATTGAGTATTTAAAAATAAATTTTAATTGATTTAATTTAATTTAATTAGTGGATTAATGAATCAGTGAAGTGAATTAAATTAAATTAGGTTAAATACATTGAATAGTGGTAAGTAATTATATTTTGTAAAATTATTATTTATTAAGACAATTATATTCTTTGTTAATTTGTCTAGTATTATTCTTTTTAAAAAAATAAGTATAAATAAAAACTGGTAAGTAAAATAATTGAATTTAATAATAATATATTTATATTATTTAACTCAATTAATTAAATAAAATAGGATTTTTATTAAAAGAAACAATAAATAGGAGATTTAAATTAATCCAATTATTTTAAAGAAAATTTTATTTTTATATATCAAGGATCAAAATATAATTTACACTAAAACATATAATGCTCCCGGATCTATAATAAAAAAAAACATCTAATTATTCAAATATTTGGCATATGAAGCAAAAATGCTGGTTTTTTTATAAATATATATAGTATCACGATAATTGTGAGAAAAATAATAATTAATAATAATTGGTCAATTTATTATTAAGTTAAATTTAAACATTTTTATTTGCGTCTTTTTTTTATAAAAATTTAAATTAACAGTAAAATTTTTTAATTTTTTTTCAATATTTTCTTCAAATGACACCTTCCTAAAATATTGACCAAATAATTCTTGTTATGAGGCTCATTTTTTTATTTCTACTTATTTTTTTGTAAAAAGAATAATACTAGACAAATTAACAAAGAATATAATTCTATTAATAAATAATAATTTTACAAAATATAATTACTTACCACTATTCAATGTATTTAACCTAATTTAATTTAATTCACTTCACTTCACTGATTTATTAATCCACTAATTAAATTAAATTAAATCAATTAAAATTTATTTTTAAATACTCAATTGAAATTTCTCCTTATTTTTTAAAAAAACAAGAAATCTACAATTTTTTATTATCAATTGAAATGTATCACGAGTCGATAAAGAAACGTTTCTCTTTGTTATACTCCTCACTTTTACCGACAAAATTCATATTACATCAGTGCACTGTCAACTAAAAAATAACATTTTACAAAACTCGTTATTTATTCTTATTTCAGGTATTTTTATATATTACTTCTTGCTTTTTAACAATAATTATTCATGATTTATCATTTTCTCAACACTCGGACAGATTTCTTCTTTTATTAGACGCGAAATACAATGTTGGTGATTGGGCATAATGCATTGGATGATTGAGCAAACAGTCCAATTGTCCGAATGTCGTTTAGACAATTGGGCAGACGGCTTGCTCAATCAGCCAAATCGCTTGCTCAATAAATCTTTTTTTACTGGGATAGTAATTTACGTCTACACTTTTCTACGTAATTTACATCTTCTTATAAATCGTCACGTGGTATTTGTCGAACATTGCAACATAACCTCAAAAGCAAACCAAGATATGTTTCCTTTCTAAAAAAATACATGACATAAAAAGGTCGAATGGTTATATCGAAAACTCTCGAAAAAATCGAACTTTTAATTAAAAGCATGGGAAATATAAAATCTTAATAAAAGGGCGAAAATTTAAATTTTATATTACACATATAACTCTTATTTATCAAAAACACAAACTTTGAAAATGTTTAAATTGCATATATACAAAAAATTAATCATTACAACACTATTTTACACAAAGCGGAAATAAATTTCGAATTTCCTTTAAGTTTTTTATTATTCTTTTAGATTATAGAGAACAGCTGTTACGTTATGGAAATGAACATAACCTATTCAGTTAAAGCCACCTAATTGGTCGCAATAATTAGCGCGCGATAATTTTAAAATATGTAATTCATTTTAATATAACACTTACAGAATGTAATATATTATTTTCCTTTGTTATTAATAAATAATTTATAAAAAACAAAAATGAACATAATTGCAACTGTAGATAGTGAAAAATATTATTTTCAAAGAAATTTTTTGAAAATGATTAGCGTAAGAGAGATTATAGCGTAAATCACTCTCTCTTATTTCACATTCATAAATTTTTTCTTTACATTTTGAATCGATATGAAATAAAAAAAAGAAGAAATTAAATCATTTTTTTAAATGAAATAAATAAAATGAAAATTGAAAAAGGAACAGAAGCAACGAAGACGGCCGTCAGAGGCGCTAGTAAATAAATAAAATATGCAAATAAGTTAGCAACCTGCTTATTAGCACTTGGCGATTTATTTTGGCATATTCTCCTGTACAAACGCAATAATTAATAAATATATATGCAGAGACAATTCGGAAATAAAATTTCATTTTAATTAGTTTATTAAAATTGTAAAATTTAGTTTAAAACAAACATTAATTACCATTTTATTTGACATAAAGAAAAATGTTTGTAACATTTCTTTGCTTATTATAAACTCGTTTTCGCAAAATAAATACTTTACAACAGCTTTTTCGTCTAATTTTATGTGTTCAAAGTTTAAATCTTTGTATGGTATTGACAATGAGGTACATTTCTTTTTTAAGGTCATTTTAAAATATTTTAATAATTTTAAAACAGTGACCAACAATAAATATTAAACAATAGTTGATATTAGGCTAAAGAGTAAAGGGGTTGTTTTCCGTTTTTTCACGTGTTTATTCACTGTTTTGTAGACGCCATATTTGAAATGTAAATTACGTGGGTTTTCTACAGTTGTCTACGTAGATTATACTTATTCTACGTAATCTACGTAGACAACCTCGAGTTACGCGTAACTGCGCAACCCTGCGGTTATACTAATGAATTTTTTGTTTGTTTCAGGTTTTACATTATATCAGTGTTGCCAATTACATGGAAATTTCCCGGAGTACGAGAAATTTTGACAGCATTGGGAAATTTTACGGGAAATGAATAAATTACGGGAAATTCCGGGAAATACTCTAATAATGCACAAATTTAATAGATTTTTAACTAAAACTCATGTTTTCTAACAGAATATATTTTAAAAAAGTTTTAATGATTTATAAAACGATAATTACATTCAAAAATTAAAAATAAAATACATAAAAACTCAATAAAAATAGTAACAATAGCAATACAAATAATAATAATCTTTTATCAGAGCTTAATATATTATATTATAATTCTAATAAATTACAATTTTATATGGTGGGAAATTGCAAGGAAATTTAAGAAATTTTTCCGGGAGAAATCGGGAATTTTATATACTAGACTGACGGGAAGTTGAGCCGTTGAGGGCTCTCGCTCCGGCAACACTGCATTATATGTCGAATCTTTGACTATAGAGCACATCGTCACAATCAGTGACACAATCACCTTGTGTATTATTTTACAATTATAAAATATAGTGAATATTAATTTTTCTACAAAATAAATTATTTTGATTTATTCATTAAGGTTAAGGGCAGTGTCGTCGATTATAATAATTATTGACAAGGTAAATTTAAATTTAATGAAAAATTATTCTAAATATACGAAAAACATGTGACGCTCCGCGAAAAAAGGTATCTTAGCTCTGCCGTACAAAAAAGTAAAAAGATACATAAGCAACAATACAAACATTGTTGTTTACGCTTTTTTTTACTTTGGACGGCAAAGCTCTCAAAAAGTTTATGTTATGTTTAGTGAGATAGTTTTACCTCAATAAAAAATTCCTTTTTTCATTAGGCAAAATAAAAAATATATTTTATTAAATATTTTGGATTTAATAAAGCGAACCACCCACGTAACTTACTATGGGAAAATGTGTTTTGGTAGAGTATACTTCTTACTCTAAAATCAGAAAAAAATTATATCTTAAATTTTGAGGGATTGCGTGAATGGATCAGTGCTCCAGGAGTCACCGTCAATTTGAGCACGAGTGACCGCTGAATCAACTATGATAAAATCCATTAGTTTACTATTTATTGCTTTATTTTTATTATTTTATAAGTTATAATAAATGAGAAGAACTGCGAGATTTCTTGTGCCAAACAAAATCATTTTTCCAAAATTTTAACCCGAAATCATTTTTTATTTCAGAGAAAATTTCAAACCACGAAAAAACGTCCTTTGCCCACATATCCATAAACATCAAAGACTTTTGTATTAAGTATAAAGAGTTGATCCTCTTTAAATATTTTCAGTCTATAAAAATCAAAAATATAACCTAAAGTTTTTTGGATCTTAGGTCCAAAAATCTTTTGTCGCGGAGAGTCACATATATATTGCATTACACTTTTCCCGTGTGGAAAAGTCGACTCGGCCCCAATCTGGTCCAGACTGGGTTTCCCAATGTCCAAAGTGGGCAACCTAGACAACGCCCAAACTGGGTGCGTAACGCTGATCCCAAAAATTTCCCAACGTTGGGAAATCCCAGCTGGGGCCAGATTGATTTATTCCATTTTTATTTATAATTGTTAATTAATAATTATATAAATAATTTAACAACAAAAGAGTAAATTAAATGAATAAATATAATTTCCTTTTAAATTAAATTGAATTAAAGATGACGACTAACAAACAATGTATATAGTGAAAAAAGTAAAAAAAATATTTATATAATTTAAAAATGAAATAATATAGTGTATGTATTAGATTTTCAAGTTTTGGTACAACTTATAAATGAAAATCTAGAAATAACGCAAACCTATGAAATAAAGAAAACTGCGCACGAGGGGAATCGAACCTACGACCTACGGACTTATAGATTAACGCTCTAACCACTATGCTAACGACGCGTACCTGCAGACAAGTTTTAATTTCTCAGTATCAAAAATGTGAAAAATATGATTAGGCTAGACAATAAATTAAAATATAATCACTTACTTAATATCATTTATTTTAATTTAACATTTTTACCAGTAATAATTTGGATTAATAAGTGCCAAAGTATAGTTGTCGTTGAAGTCAAAATTTTGTTTAAATAATTTATTAAATTAGAAAATTATCTTCAATTATTATTAATAAATTGAATAAAAATAGGAAATAAATGATTGAGAATGGGAAAGCCCAAACTCAAAAAACGACTAAGTTATTATTATTAATTAGCTTAGTTGAATAAATTAAAAACTAAGAACTTGACATACATTTTATTTATTCAGGGAAGGTATTATTTAAGCATGAAAATTACGTTCTAGGACGACCAGCAAGAGGACGCAGAAGACAAATTTTGCCTCGGTATCCTATCGAATTGTGGAACCAATACGAAGCTGCTCTTCAAGGAGCTAGCAGAACGAATAACGTCAGCGAGGGGTGGCATAACCGATTCGCGATAGTAGTGGGAAAACATCATCCAGATCTCTACTCCCTCCTGACAGAAATACAAAAAGAACAAGCCGATACAGAGTGTGCTATTGCGGAGTTAAGTTTAGGGAGATCGGTGAGGGCTGCACCAAAGAAGAAATGGTATCAGCTTCAAAGGAGAATCCAAGCGATCACAGCTTCCTACGCAAATTATAAAAGGGAAAACAGAGTGTTGGACTATTTGAAAGCAGTTTCTTACAATATTGTGCTCTAATTGGGTTACAAATATTTATTTACATTTACACTCATAAATTTTATACTTTTGTAACAATTTATTGCAGTAAATTCTTCATTTCTAATAAAATTTTTTTTTCATTTTTCGGGGACATAGCCATTCGGGAAAATGGCATTCGGGAAAAAGGCATTCGGGATTTTGGCTATTCGGGATTTTTGACATTCGGGCCAGCGGCATTCGGGAAATTCGATTCGGGAAAATGACCGGATACCTCCGGTCCGGAATGACCTTAACTTAATTCTTTTATTTCTTCATTTTTCAAACTTTGGGAAGCCAAGTTGGGCCCAGATTGGCGCCCAGTCTCACTTTGGGCGACTATGGGATGTTTTGTCACCGACTGACAATCTTGATAAAGATTTTAAATAGATTTGTAAATTCTTTTTAGTTCGACAATACAAAATCAATCAAATGAAAAAAACTTGACACGGTGTAACGTTCTTTGTGTCAATAGATTTATAGGATAGAGAATAAAGGATAATTCATTTAATAGTCACAATTTTAGATATGTAACACATAAATAACTATTTATCTCACTAAATATTAACGGATTAACATTATTACATTTTATGGAATTTAAAAACTAAAATTAAGCCTAGGTCCAGTTGTGGGCAAACGATTTTTTATATTTTCGAAATTTTGAATTTTTTAAAAATACTAATAAAAAGAAATATATTTAAATTTCATAAAAAAATAAGGGGTTCAAAAATCATGGTTCTAAAAATTTTCGATTTTAAAAAACGTTAATAACCCTTGAGAAAATAACAATATATAAATATAGAATATTCGCCAATAGCTCAAAAAATGCTTATGCAAAAACTCAATTTTTGAGGAAATACTTCAATGTATTTTTTGAGAAGAAAAAAAATATTTATTTAACCAAATTGAAAATTTGAACTGTACTATATAATATATAATAAATATATATAATATATATAAATATATAAACACTGTCCCACTGTTTGTCACTCTCCCCTATATATATTACACTAATACACTGGAGTCTCCCAAGAGAGGACTTCTGAAGAGAGGACTAAGTAGTGACGCAGCGCGGTAAGGAGTGAGGGGGGAAGAGATGGGCGGGATCAGAAAGAGGAACGTGAACTCAGGAGCGTTTGTTTTTAGTGTACCTTTCTCGCGTAGTGTTTTACATACGTAACAGAATGTATTCTGTTAAAAAAAACACATCTCTGTGATACGATATACGGCCCTGGAGTGTTTACAATTTTCGGCGTCAAGGACGAATTCCGTAGAGAGGTCCAAGACTCTTTCTGTCCTCTCTTCGGAGACTCTAGTGTATTATGTTTACTAAATTATATATTATAATTAATTTGTTTTTAACTTGGTATTATTTACAGGATTAATTTTTTCTATCATTTCATCATGTCCAGCCACTTCAGTTATTTCTGTGAGGCGCAAAGGCAGCGTTATAAATTTATATTAAGAACCGAAGATGAATGCAAATCAGAAAATGCATTAAACTATGATCCCAACTACATTAATGTAAAAATAGATCTCCTCAAAAGAGCATGGGACAAGTTTGATGATTTACATACGAATATTTTCGAACGTAGGATTGAATTTAATTTGAAAGATTCGGAAGCAGATCAGATTAAAAAGTCCTATGCTTACGATACATGTATCTTATCTTACACCAGAGCTATGACTTTTTTTCTTAACTGCAAGGATTCTTATCTTAAAAAATAGTGATAGAAGCACTTGGATTGAGTTAACAGATGTATACTGAAATTTTCAAACTAAAAATTATGTCCGAGTTTTTTTATCACTTTTCGGTGTAACCTCACTAAATTAAATAAAACATTTTTTTAGAATATTTATTAATATACAGGTCCAAAACAATCACTTTTTTTTCTTATGCACCATATGAATTGTTTCTTTTAAATAAACAATTGTTTTTACTTTACCCTAGAAGGTGTAACTGGGGTGTCTAAACACCCCAAGCAACATTCAAAGTATGTTCCTGATCTTTACCAATATTTTTGCGATGGCGCACAGTGAGGAAAACTGTAAATTTTTGTGTCAAAATCGTAGAACTTGGGACAGAGTTGATACAATTTAATAAAAAAAATTGGAGATGAAAGCTGTGACTCTAGAGATTAGAGGAAAAATACGGAGAAACCTGTAAAAAAATTGTTAACCTATAAAAAAAATATGCAAAGTTGGAATTTTATGGTAGAAAATTGGTTTTCAATGTACTGCGAGCATAAAAACGATGAAATCTTTGTCTATGTCGACTATACTTACGTACTTTTTCATGCTGAATACGAATCCGATGCCAGAATTAGTGAAAAAAATCGAGGAATAGAAATCGACCATGTTTTTTTCATAAAAAGTCCAAATTATTTAGATTTAAACGAAACTCACTTTTTAAGTGTTTTTGGGGTCGCTGATAACGAATATGACAGCAGAAATTCAAAATGGCGGATCCAATATGGCCGACTAAAATTTTTAAAATGCTTCTGTTTTAATCAAAACTTATGTTTCTTATGTTTTTGGGGTCGCTGATAACGAATATGACCTCAGAAATTCAAAATTCAAAATGGCGGATCCAATATGGCCGACTAAAATTTTTTAAATGCTTCTGTTCTAATCAAAACTTATGTTTCTTATGTTTTTGAAGTCGCTGCTAACGAATATGACCTCGGAAATTCAATATTCAAAATGGCGGATCTAATATGGCTAACTTTAGAATTTCTGAGGTCATATTCGTTATCAGCGACCCCAAAAACATAAGAAACATAAGTTTTGATTAGAACAGAAGCATTTAAAAAATTTTAGTCGGCCATATTGAATCCGCCATTTTGAATTTTGAATTTCTGAGGTCATATTCGTTATCAGCGACCCCAAAAACATAAGAAACATAAGTTTTGATTAAAACAGAAGCATTTTATATTTATATATATTTAATATTAATAATATATATATTTTAATATAAAATATATATATTAATATATTAATATTCACATTAATATATTTTATTCACATATATTATATACATATTCAATTTGTAAAATTTTATATTTATAACACCCTTTTTAATAAATAGTCGGCCATATTGGATCCGCCATTTTGAATTTTGAATTTCTGCTGTCATATTCGTTATCAGCGACCCCAAAAACACTTAAAAAGTGAGTTTCGTTTAAATCTAAATAAGTTGGACTTTTTATGAAAAAAACATGGTCGATTTCTATTCCTCGATTTTTTTTCACTAATTCTGGCATCGGATTCGTATTCAGCATGAAAAAGTACGTAAGTATAGTCGACATAGACAAAGATTTCATCATTTTTATGCTCGCAGTACATTGAAAACCAATTTTCTACCATAAAATTCCAACTTTGCATATTTTTTTTATAGGTTAACAATTTTTTTACAGGTTTCTCCGTATTTTTCCTCTAATCTCTAGAGTCACAGCTTTCATCTCCAATTTTTTTTATTAAATTGTATCCACTCTGTCCCAAGTTCTACGATTTTGACACAAAAATTTACAGTTTTCCTCACTGTGTGGCGCGGCACTAGAACGATAATTCAATCTGTACATCTGACAGTTGATCTACGGCAGTGCGCGTAAAATCTTTTTTAAGGCCATATGGGAAATACCCATGTGACCCCCATGCAAAAAACATGGTATCGTATTTCCAAGTTTTCTCTAAAATGGTAAAGAATTTTTGGTTGAAATTTGTAAAATATGATAGAGAATAACATTCAGAATGGCGCTGTTCTCGGTTTGAAGCATAATTTTGCGTTTAAGTATTAAAATTAAAAGTTTGTAAATTCCCATTTTTGAACGAAACATGAAGTCAACATGGCGGGGGTACACACAGACGTCCCGTGAATCAGTATCAGTGGTCCAGGAACTAGCGCCAATTCGAGTCAAAGAAATAACCAAAACCTATTAACTCCACTATTAATTACTTTTTTAAATTATTTCGCATTTAATTACAGTAAATAAGTAGAACAGCCTAATTCCTTCAACCCTTTCTTATCATTCCTCAAAAATTTCAACCTGAAATTTCTTCTCATTTCCGAGTATACTTGGAACTACCAAAAAGTGTCTTTGTCTCACATGGCCTTAATCAGTTCATTATATGAAATTTCAATTGAGGATTTTTTAAGTTCGTGAAAAATTTATCTTTGCGATACAAAAGGTAAAAAAGATACTAATATATGTAACCTAAATTTTTATAGAAAATGACTTCACGGTACAATTCCTGCAGTATAATAACGGCTATGAAAAATCAAATGTTAGCGTCAATTTTAAGTAATTGATTAAGTCAATTTTAAAAGCTATAAATTTTATAAATTATAAATATTATTTATAATAATATATTCACATATATTATATACATATTCAATTTGTAAAATTTTATATTTATAACACCCTTTTTAATAAATATTAATTGATAAAATCTATTTTATAGTTAATTTTTGTGATTTTCTCAACATTTTTTTAAAAAAAGACAAATTTGGCAAATAGGTATTTCGTTTTTGCAACTCTTTTTTAACTTGATTTTAATTTTATCCTTCTTTATCTTTTTACACAAGTTTCAAGTTGGAGGTGTCTAATAGACACCCCACCCACACAGCACAACATCTTACACCAGGCCTACAGCAGGCTTACATGTAAGGTTTGTAAGGTAACATCGTAAGCCCATAGTAGACTTACAGTAAACCTAAAATGTCCGCCTTACAGTAAGCTTACATGGTAGGGTCGAGGTAAGCTTACATGGTAGGGTCGAGGTAAGCTTACACGGTAAGGTCGAGGTAAGCTTACACGGTAAGGTCGAGGTAAGCTTACATGGTAGGGTCGAGGTAAGCTTACATGGTAGGGTCGAGGTAAGCTTACATGGTAGGGTCGAGGTAAGCTTACACGGTAAGGTCGAGGTAAGCTTACACGGTAAGGTCGAGGTAAGCTTACATGGTAGGGTCGAGGTAAGCTTACACGGTAAGGTCGAGGTAAGCTTATGAGTAAAGGCTGTGGTAAGGTTATTATTAAGTTGTAAGGTTGAGGTAAGGTTGTGGTAAGCTTACAAGGTAAGGCAAGTTATATTCAAATAATAATATTAATAATAAATAAATATTCAATAAAAAAATTTTTCTTTTGCCTTATTCTATTTTGGGAACCTATCATTTCGCAGAAAGTTTTGAAAACAAATTTGGGAGGAGTAGGATTCGAACCCGGGACCGAAGTATATACCTAACAACCTAACCAACTGAGCTAAACGGGGAACTGACAATGAGAAAAGTAATCTTACTTTTAAAGTGGAACCAAGAAGATAATCAACTCCTTAAAAGCAAGATTACTTTTCTCATTGTCAGTTCCCCGTTTAGCTCAGTTGGTTAGGTTGTTAGGTATATACTTCGGTCCCGGGTTCGAATCCTACTCCTCCCAAATTTGTTTTCAAAACTTTCTGCGAAATGATAGGTTCCCAAAATAGAATAAGGCAAAAGAAAAATTTTTTTATTGAATATTTATTTATTATTAATATTATTATTTGAATATAACTTGCCTTACCTTGTAAGCTTACCACAACCTTACCTCAACCTTACAACTTAATAATAACCTTACCACAGCCTTTACTCATAAGCTTACCTCGACCTTACCGTGTAAGCTTACCTCGACCCTACCATGTAAGCTTACCTCGACCCTACCATGTAAGCTTACCTCGACCCTACCATGTAAGCTTACCTCGACCCTACCATGTAAGCTTACCTCGACCTTACCGTGTAAGCTTACCTCGACCTTACCGTGTAAGCTTACCTCGACCCTACCATGTAAGCTTACTGTAAGGCGGACATTTTAGGTTTACTGTAAGTCTACTATGGGCTTACGATGTTACCTTACAAACCTTACATGTAAGCCTGCTGTAGGCCTGGTGTAAGATGTTGTGCTGTGTGGGCAGTTACCCTTGAGAGGGTGAGAAAATTCAGTTAGGTACTCCTTCTAGAGTTAAAAAGTGATTATTTTGGACCTTTATATTAATAAATATTATAAAAAAAATATTCCATTTAATTAGATGAGATTACTCCGAAAAGTGATAAAAAAAACTCATGTAATGGCACTTATAATTTTTTTTTTTTTTTAATTGTTCAATAAATATTTTTACAAAAAGCTGTACTGCGAAACATCGTTAACTTTTTTTATGTTTGTAATGAAAAAATAAAATTTTTTTTTGAAATTATACTCTGAGCTTTCTGTTTTTTGAGTGTACATTATTTATTTATTTTTATTTTTGATACCTCATAAAATTATAAATATTTATTTGATAATAGTCTAATGACGGCCGTCACATGAATTTGTTGAATTTCTACCTTTTTATAGTACATGTATTATGTTTACCTTTACTTTAAATTAATTTTTAAAAGAAAATTATTAAATATGAAAATTGAATTAATATAAAATTTTATAAATATTGATATAGAAATTCGAACATATTACTTTCGACGACGTAGAAATCAAAAGTAATGAAAAAGTAAGGTTATGAGCATGAGTGTTATAACACTTCTTTAACGTTGTGTGTGTGACTCAAGTGACTTACATTACGTCATTTAAGTAACATACGTAATTACGTAGTCGAACCTGCTGCTAAGAAGACCACCTAGATGTTACAATCACCCATCCCTGATATAATATAGTACATAATTCAAAATTATTTAACAACCAAAAAATAATTTTTTACGTTAAAAAATTTACATCAATATTTATGAATATAAATTTCTAAATTTTTTTATTTCTTTTGACTATTTACTATATTATTTATTTGACTATTTACTTTGACTCCATTGGTGCTGTATTTCACACTTGTGTATGTGTATGTGTAGTACGTGATTTGTTTCCTGCGTGTACAGTTGTGTTTGTTTTGTGTTAAAACAAAACATTAATGTTTTTGATTAAAAAGAATTTAATTCACTAAATAATTTACATTTAATTAGTTCAGTAACGAGAAACTAATATATGTTATGTGTACAATTAAGTAATTCACCTTAAAATGCTCTTTATAAATATAGATTTTTAATTCTATACTTTTAGAGGTTAGTTTCTTGTATACAAATATATAATCTTCCTATTAATTTATCTCTGAATGCCGGTTTTCTGTTCAAAACAGTATACTATATTATTTAATTAAAAATTGAATATATAAATACATATTTTAATTAAAGACTAACCTGAAGCAAAGAATGAGGAATTTTTGATTTCGCAAAAATGTCATTTTCATCTACACTCGTTGAAAAGCATCAGTTCGATTCGCATTCCGAGGATAATCACAAAGATTCTGTAAATTTAATAAAAAAGGTATTCATTTATTATATTTAATTATAATTTTTGCATTTATTATCGTATTTTATTCTTGTAATTACCAATAAAAATTTTTTTAAAATAATTATTTGTTAATTTAATTTTAAATCGTCGTCTTAAAATCAATTAGATATCAACAACAGTGGCTACAAACAATAATTTTCATCATAGAAAAATTTAAAAATAAATATTATTAGGTCTTTTTATTATATACAGTTATTATGAAAAAAATTTGTTTTAACAAAAAGCAAATATTATTACATAATTCAGAGTAGCCAAGGATATTTTTTTTTAATTATCCGAATTTCAATTTTTTCAAATTTTAATTGATTTAAGTTTAAAATAATGCAAATATTAATTAATTTAAGTTTTAAATTATCCAAATTGTAATTGTCTTAAGTTTAAATTTATCCAAATTTTAAACTATTAATAATTCAATCACTGATTAACGAAGCTGAAGTACGCAACGTTTATTTATAAACGATTTTTAAAGAAATAATTTTTTAAAATGAAAAATTCTATAATTTTTTGCCTAAAAAATATTTCTTGTAGTTTTGATTAATCAAAAAATTATAAAAAAATATTTTTTATGCAAAAAATTATAGAATTTTTCATTTTAAAAAATTATATAATAATAAAATGCTTGGTCTGTCCTTCTGTCCTAACTTGAAGTTGGCCTTTTCTGATTTCACGTGTTTTTTTTAATAGTAATCTTATGACGTGTCAAATTTTGACAATTCTTTTTCTCATTTTTGCCAAAGTTGTATAATTGTGTTTCCAAATTTCGGAATAAGTTTCTTTAAAATTCCAAATTCGAAAATTCAATTCACGAAGCTGAAGTACACAACGTTTACCAACGAAATTTTTTTAAAAGTTGTATATTGATTCAAAAATTGTATACAAATACAAAAAATTTATGATGAGAAAAAAGATGCGCCAGGAAATTTCGTACAAGATAGTAATTTGAAAAAAATTTATTTTTAAAAATTAATTTTTAAGGTACCAGGGGCCAACGAATACCTATTAAATATTAATTATAAAAACACAGGCCTCGAATCAACTTAAAGACACAAAAAGTCGTTTTAGTCGATTTATATTCCAAAGAAAAGTGGATTTGTTTTTTATTTTAACAAAAATATTTTACAGATTTTTAAATAAAAATTTTTTTTTAATAATAATCCTTTTCGAAGGGTTAAAGTTGAAATTTTTAGAAATAATTAAATTTCAAAAGATATTGTTAATTTTCAAACAATTATTAAATTTTACAGAACTAAAAATAATTTATCAAACAATTTTTGGAAAACATTTTTTAAATTTAATTGAATTTTTAAAGATTTAAAATTGAGATTTTTGAAATTAATTGAAACTTTAAGTGATTTTTAATTAAAATTTTAGATGATTTCACTAAAAATTTATTAGAAAATGCGGACAAAATACAATAATTTGAAAATCATTTTTAATTGAAAAATTGTTTCAGATAGTTGAATTTTCAAAGAATATTATTAAAATAGTTAAAAATAATTGAATTCCCTTAGAGTTATAATTGCAATTATTAAATTTCAAAAAAAAAAAATTTTTCGATGGAAAATTTTAGAAATAATTAAATTTTAGATGCTTTTAAATTCAAATTATTGAAAATTCAATTAATTTTGAATTCAAATTTTTGAGAATAATGAAATTTTATTTGATTTTAAATTTGGAAAATAATTGAATTTCAGTTCATTTTGAATTGAAAATTTTGGGAAATAATTGAATTTGAATTGAAATTTTGGATAATAATTTAATTTAAGTTCATTTTTGATTGAAAATTTGGATAATTAATTTTGAATAGAAATTTTAGAAAATAATTGAATTTTATTTCATTTTAAATTGAAAACTTGGTAAATAATTAAATTTTAAATTGAAAATTTTGGATAATTATTGGATTTTTAATTGATTTTGAATTAAAATTTCGGGTAATAATTGAATTTTAGTTTATTTTGAATTGAAATTTTTAAAAAATAATTCAATTTTATTGTGATATATTTTTTTTTTAATTATAAACAATTGTTAAATTTCATAAAAATTTTAATTGAAAAATAATTGTGATATAATTGAATTTGTGATGTATTTCTTTAAAATTATTAAAAATAATTAATTTAGTGAAGAATCATTTTAGTTCAAAATTTGTTAAATAATTGAATTAAAGAAGATCTGAAGAAGATCTACATTTTATACTAAAAAAATGTATTTTATTTACATTTTTTTTCAAATGTAAAAAAAATGTCGCATTTTATTAAAATAAGTCGATAAAAGTCGTATTTTTGAAAAAAGTCGGAAAAAGTCGTATAATCCGAGGCCTGTAAACATATAATTTTCATTATTATCATTTAATATGTAATAATATTTCAATAAATTAAATTATTATTAACATTACTAATCTTTAATTTCTTTAGAACAAATAATTAAATACTCAATTTGGCGCGATTGCGCGCGTTTAATTTTGCTAGTTGTTTATATAAACGTTGCGTACTTCAGCTTCGTCACTGATTAAAAATATCAATTAATAAAAATTTGAATAGATACAAATTAGTTATTTTGCACGTTAATTGGTTTTAACTATCAGTTTTTCATCATCTTTTTGTCATCTACTTTAGGTAAATAATTCACCTTTTTATCTATTATCAAGGAAAAAATATTCTAGTAAAGAGAGTGAAATATAGTAGAAAAATACATTTTTCAAACTTCAAATTATATACCTATTATATTTCCATTATTATATGTAATTCATTTATTTTTTTTAATTTTAAGATATTTTAAATTTTACAATCTGCAAGCAAAATATATGTATATGTAAAATAGAAAATAATTTTTCCAATTTTTTTACAGACACGTTCACAGTCAAATGAACAAATTAAAAATGCAAATAGAGGACAAATTGATGTTATTAAAATGTCCGAGGATATTTCTCACTATAAATATCTATTTGTTTATGAAGATAGAATATCAAGATATATTGTTTTAAAAGCATTACAAAGTAATAATCCAAAAGAGGTGGCAATAAAACTTTTAGATGTTATGACAATAATTGGTGTTCCTGAAATTTTACAATCGGAAAATGGTGAAAATTATGCTAAACAAATTTTAAATGAACTATTTAATTTGTGGAATAATTTGAAAATAATTTCCGATGATATTGTAAAATTTAAAAATGAAAGAAATTTTCCAACTATCATTAAATCTTGGTTGACAAAAAATCCCCATAAAACATGGATTGAAAGTATCAAATTTATTCAAGTAATGGAAAATGCAACATTTTCTACTGAAAATAATAAATATCCATATGAATCATATTTTAAAAGAAATATTTTTGATGATTTTTATTCAAATGATAGAGAAATAAAAAGCAGTGAGTCTCTAACAAGAAAATTTAAATCGGAAATAGATATTCAAGATGATAATTCATCTATTTCAGATGATCACGATTTTGACGATCAAATTAACAATGAGGTAATTAACTTTTTTTCAATTTAAAATTTATTTTTAACAAATTTTAATAAATCTAAATATTTAAATTATTTGAAGCATTTCTTGATTAAAATTGAAATCGATTTAAATTTAAATTCATTCTATTTCTAATTAACAATCAATACAATCAATACAAAAATTTAATTAATTTAAAAGTTAAATATATTCAAAATTTTAATTTTATTTAATATTCGATTCAAATAATCAATCCAAATTTCAATTTAATCTAAGTATTTATTTAAAATTTCAAGTGATCCAACTTTCAATCAATATTGTAATTTTTATTGGTGAAAACAAATTCATTAATTAAAGTTTTAATCAAGTGCAAATTCAATGGATCAAAACTTAAAATATTAACGAAATTTCAATTTATTTAAAAATATATCGATTTAAATTGTAAATTATTCGAATTGCAATTTGTTCAAAATTTTAATAGATTTATATTTTTTACATTTTTACCAAATTTTAATTTATCTAAATTTTAATTGATTTAATTTTCAATTCATCAAAAAAATTTAATTATTCAAGTTTCAAATTATTCGAATTTTAATATCCAAATTTTAATTCATTTAAGTTTCAAATTATACGAATTTCAATTGGTACAAATTTCGATTGACTCTTGTTACAATTTATCCTAAATTTAATAAACTTAATTCAGGCTTCGGATTATATGACTTTTTTCGACTTATTTTAATAAAATGCGACTTTTTCGACTTTTTTTCTACATTTTTTTTTTTACAAAATTTTTAAACAAAATACGTTTTTTTTTAGTATGAAATGCAGATCTTCAGATTCACTTTGTTTCAATTATTTAACAAATTTCAAAAAGTAAAGTTCTTCACTAAATTAATAATTTTTAATAATCTTAATGAAATTCATCACAAATTCAATTATTTTAAACTATTTATCAATTAAAATTTTTATGAAATTTAATAATTATTATTTATAATTAAAAAAAAAAAATTTCAAATAAAATTACCAAAAATTTCAATTCAAAATCAACTAAAATTCAATTATTATCAAAAATTTTCAATCGAAAATCAACTAAAATTCAATTATTTTCAAACTTTTCAATTGAATTTCAATTTAAAAGGTTCTAAAATTTTCCATTTAAAAGTTTTTAAAATTAGTAATTTTTATTATAACTCTCCTGAAATTCAATTATTTTTAACTAGTTTTATAATATTCTTCGAAAATTCAACTACCTGAAACTATTTTTCAAAAAATTTTGTAATTTTACATTACATTTACATTACATTTTGTAATTAAAAATCACTTGAAGTTCAATTAATTTCAAATATCTCAATTGTAAATCTTTAAAAATTCAATTACCTCCTTTAAAAAAATGTTATCTAAAATTATTGGATAAATTATTTTTAGCTTTGTAAAATTTAATTATTATTTAAAAAATAACAAAACCTTTTGAAATTCAATTATTTCTAAAAATTTTAACTTTAACTCTTCCAAAATTATTATTATTATATTATTTTTAAAAAAATTATTCAAAAATCTATAAAACTTTTTTGTTAAAATAAAAAAAAATTGACTTTTTTTGGAATATAAATTGACTAAACGACTTTTTTTGTACCTTTAAGTCAATCCGAGGCCTGTTAATTTCAAATTATTCAAATTATAAATGGTTTAAGTTTTAAATTTACCGAATTTTAATTTATCTAAATTTTAATTGATCTAACTTTTGTAATATCTGAAATTCAAATTTAATATTAATAAATAATAAAATATTATTATTTTAATTTTAGAATACCGAAACAATTGAAAATTCATCGATAAAACATTCGAAAAGAAATTTGACAACAGTAAAAATCGAATCATTGGGAAATGATTCAGATGAAGTCGATAAATTAATTTCTTTAAGAAAAACAAGAAACAATCATACATTTAAATGTAAATTTTGTCCAAAACAATTTACAATGGCGGGACATTTAGCAAATCATTTGAAATCGCACAAAAAATCAATTGATTGTTTAAAGTGTTCAAAAAAATTTCGCACTCAAGCCATTTATAAAAATCATGTACAAGAATTTCACAATGAAATTTCCACTGACATTGATATTGAAAATTCACTCGACGAACAAAAAGTGAAAATTGTTTCAAAAAAAATTGCTATTTCAGAAAAATTATTCGAATCTCATGGGAAAAAATTGAAAAAATTGAAATTAAACGAAACACTTGAATGTAATTATTGTGGTCAAAAATTTGAATTTCCAAGTGTATTAAAAAGACACATTCGTTCACATACAAATGAAAGGCCATATAATTGTGAAATTTGTAATAAAAGTTTTAAACAACACGGTCATCTTAATCAACATTCAATAACGCACACTGATTACAGATCATTACAATGTAATCAATGTGGTGTTAAATTTGAATCTCTAGATGCATTAAAAATACATTCGGAAATTCATCCTTATGATTCGTCAATGTCGTCGTTTCTTAAAAAAAACATTAATCTAACAAAACCTCGTCTTTTCGACTGTGATATTTGCAAAAAAGTATTCACCACCAAAAGTGTTTTAAAAAGACATATTTTAACACACACACAAGAACGACATTATGAATGTGATATTTGTGGTAAACGATTTAAACAATCAGGACATGTGAAATCTCACATGTTGGTTCACACTGGTGAACGACGATTTCAATGTGCAATTTGTTCAAAACGCTTTAGTTTAGCGAATTCATTAAAAAAACATATGTACATACACAATGGCGATAAACCATATCAATGTGATATTTGTGGTGCAAGATTTTTAGAAAAAAGAAATTTCAATGGCCATCTATTGACACACACTAATGAAAAGCCATTTGTTTGTAAAATTTGTGGTAAAAAATATACACTCGCCGATACATTAAGACGACACGTGAGTGCAGCACACGAAAATGGTAGAACATATCAGTGTGAAATTTGTGCAAAAATGTTTAAACAATTGGCGCATTTGTCAGTTCATAAAAAAGTTCACACCGATGAACGTCCATTTCAATGTCATTTGTGTGAGAAAAATTTTAAACATAAAAATGTTTTAAAATCACATTTGGCAATTCATGCCAATGTACGTCCATTTGAATGTGATGAATGTAAAGCGACATTTGTTAGAAAAACAAATCTTCAAACGCATATTGCATCGGCGCATATGAATGAAAGACCATATACGTGTAATATTTGTGGGAAAAAATTTAAACAAGTTAGTCATTTAAATGGACATATTATTGTGCATAGTAATTCTATGCCATATCAATGTGATTTTTGTGATCGACGATGTAATCGATTGGATAATTTAAAGAAACATATGAGAATTCATACGAAAACAACAAAAGAGATTGATAATGTATTAATTATTGGTGGAGGGACAAATTTCAATTCTCAAATTGGTCATGTGTAAAAAATTTTCATCTAAGTATCAGTGAAAACAAAATATAGTTATTGGTATATTTATAAATGAGAGAAATTTTGTTTAAATTATAGAAAATTTTTCATCTTTTACATTATAATTTTACATAATGAAGTAAATTCTTCTTTATTAAAGCCAGTAATAATAGATGAGAAGGATGAAAACGTATTTTAGCCTGATGCCATTTTTTATTTAAAAATTGGGGCATATGATTTTTTCATAAAAATCATTCATTAGAATCTTCATTTTAAAGTATTTTATTTGAAATAATTATCTTTTAGACGAATTTTCAAATTAAAATTTGACATATTTTCTTTTTATATGAATTTTTATTTGATAAAATTTTTAGCTACCGAATTTTTCGTTTGGCAGAATTTTTATTTTACTGTCATTTTATTTACATAAGTTTTTATTTAAAAGAATTTGTATTCAGTCGAATTTTTAAGATGCCGAATTTTTATTTGTCCAAAATTACAAATTTTCGAAGAAAAAATCGACAGAAAGAGATTTTGGCGCAATTTTTAAAATTGACAAATTAGAAATTATTAAGAAAATCGTGTATGGTTAATTTTAAAAATTGCGCCGAATTCTCCTTTTTGTAAATTTTTTGTTCGGACATTTGTCATTTCGGACAAATGAAAATTCTGTTAAATTAAAATTCTTTTAAATAAAAAGTCATGTAAAGAAAATGACTGTAAAATAAAAATTTGATAGCTAAAAATTTTGTTAAGTAAGAATAATGAGAAAATCTGTCAAATTTTAATTCAAAAATTGAAAATTTGTAAAAAAAAAAAAAAATTATTTCTAATAAAATTCTTTAAAATGAAGATTCTAACGAATGATTTATATGGGAAATTCATGCGCCCCTAAATATGGGGATTTCTTAATCGCTCGAGTCAGAAATTAAAATTTTTTGTTATTAATTTCATAATTTTGGTAAATTGTTGTTCTATATGAAAGTAAAAAATCCCTAAAACATTAAATAATTTCTATTTAGCTGATATGAAAAAAAAAACCCTCAACTTTCGACTGAAAATAAAAAATTTATTTTCACAATTCCTAAATGTATAAAAGTTGAAAAATAAGAGTAAATTTTGAGAAAAGTAAAGATAAAAAATTATTTCTGAAAAAAAAGTTCAAAATTCCTATTTTAAATTTAAATCTATAGTTTTGTCGTAGTTATATTAATTTCAATATGACAGTGTCACTTAAAACGTAAATAATTCTACCACCACTACTTTCTACAAATTTTTTTTAAATCAGCTAATATTTCAGGCATTTTTTACTTTCATAATTATTAACAATTTACCGAATTCGGTCCAATAACTTTCATTATTGTTAACAAAAAAAATTACCAGTAAAAGTATGAGTAATTTTATTATTAACATTTTGAATTATTAAAAATTACATTTGAATAAAGATTAAAAATTTCTTACTATACAAAGAAATAATAATTTTTAAATTTTATGTTGAACATAAATTGAGACAAGAAATTGTATAATTTTTATTAAAATGCAAATTTTAATGGTTCAAAATTTTAAAAAATTCGAAAAGTTGGACTAACTTTTTGTTAAAATTATTTGTCTGATATTTCAATGATTTTTTTTTCTAAAAACAGGCCACAATTACGGGGCGCATAATTATCCCATAAAAATCATTAGTTAAAATTTTCATTTTAAAAAATTTTATTAGATATATAATTATTTTTTAGACGAATTTTTATTTTTCCAATTAACATTTGACAGAATTACTTTTTAAACAAATTTTTACTTAATATAATTCTTATAATATCGAAATTTTCATTTGGCAGAATTCTTAAAACGCCGAATTTTTATTTGTCCGAAATTGCAAATGGCCGAACAAACAATCGACAGAAAGATTTTGGCGCGATTTTTAAAATCAACCAATCACAATTTTATGGATAATTTTTGATTGGTTGATTTTAAAAATTGCGCCAAAATCTTTCTGTCGATTGTTTGTTCGGTCATTTGCAATTTCGGACAAATGAAAATTCGGCGTTTTAAGAATTCTGCCAAATAAAATTTCGGTGCCAAAGAATTCTGTTAACCCTTTAAGGACCAAATGTACAAAAATTTTGCCTAAAGTTTGGCAATTTTTTAAACCAACTAAACGCATTAAGAAAAAATTCGCAATATACGTTTGTTATGGTCCAGGAACCACTCTTTCAAGTGGTGCAACTAAAAAAAAACCGTAAATTTAAAATTAAACAAATTACAGATAATTATTTATAAAAAAACATGAATTTTCAAAGTTTTTTTCTTTACTTAAGAATTTTTTTGGGCAATGTACCATTTTAAAATATCTTCCCGAGGTACAAATATCGCGTCAAAAAAGTTCAATATTTGACATGGTGGCATAGATTTAAAAAAAAAAAACTAAATGTCTAAATAATATTGTTAATTAAAGTTGAGATTTTAATAACAAATACGCAGCTATTGTCAAATAATTTTAAAAATTAACGGATTCACTCGAAAAGAATTACTCGGGGGTTTTCGGGGTAGCTGATTACGAATCTGAAGTCGATTTTCAAAAATTCAAAATGGCGGACGAAAAAATTAAAAATTCATCGGATTCACTCGAAAATCGTTACTCGGGGCTTCTCTTTTCGAGTGAATCCGATGAATTTTTAATTTTTCGTCCGCCATTTTGAATTTTTGAAAATCGACTTCAGATTCGTAATCAGCTACCCCGAAAACCCCCGAGTAACTCTTTTCGAGTGAATCCGTTAATTTTTAAAATTATTTGACAATAGCTGCGTATTTGTTATTAAAATCTCAACTTTAATTAACAATATTATTTAGACATTTAGTTTTTTTTTTTTAAATCTATGCCACCATGTCAAAGGTTGAACATTTTTCACGCGATATTTGTACCTCGGGAAGATATTTTAAAATGGTACATAGCCCAAAAAAATTCTTAAGTAAAAAAAAACCATTGAAAATTCATGTTTTTTTATTAATAATTATCTGTAATTTGTTTAATTTTAAATTTAAGGTTTTTTTAGATGCACCACTTGAAAGAGCAGTTCCTGGACCATAAGAAACGTATATTGCGAATTTTTTCTTAATGCGTTTAGTTGGTTTAAAAAATTGCCATACTTTAGGCAAAATTTTTGTACATTTGGTTCTTAAAGGGTTAATTAAAAATTCTTTAAAAAAGAAATTCTTACAAATGTTAATTTGAAAAATGAAAATTCGTGTAAAAAATAATTATATGTAATGAAATTGTTGAAAATGAAAATTCTCAGTAATAATTTTTATGGGATAATCATGCGCCCCGCACAATTACTTTATGTGCGATTTATAAAATTAATTAATTCTTTGTATTTTTTACAACTAGTGAGAATAATTTCCAAAAGTAATGCTTCCATACTAATATATATATATATAGAACTTTGTATATTTTAATTTATAAATTATCAAAATAGTTTAATTTGACATAATAGGTTATATACATATTATTATTTATATTTGTGAAAATCAATGATCGAAATATTGTATTTTTTTTCATCATTGTTTCATCATTGTGCGAGACGATATTTAATCCTATTTTGTACTATGTAATGTAATAATAGGTTTAATCTTTTAAATTAGATTTACGACGAATTGTATTTCTCCACGAAGCAGGTCTTCCTGAAAATTACAATCCATATAAACCGATTTGTGAATGAGTAAATAGTCTTTAAGAAATAAGAAACTTGAAGAAACTTTTCTACATAAATAATTTGAATGATAGTGCGTGTGTTTCAATAATAATAGTAATAATTATTATTATTATTAATGTCGTACAATTATTGTTGAATAAATTTTTAATTTTTTCAAATACAAATACAAATTAGTGTTGATATTCTAATTCAACGGAATTTTTTCCAATTCCCAATTTTTTAGAATTGAATATATTTGAATATTTTTCGATTAAAAAATTGATTATTTTTTCTGTTCTTGTTATTATAAAGTTGAATTTAGCGCGTTTTTTGAAAAAAAAAAAACAAAAAAAATAACAAGATGAAATCGATTTTGTACATCTGTCAATTTTGACAGCAGCTGCATAACACGTTGGATATAGGTTATGTGTCATTTGATCGCCAGCCATCAGTTTACTTTTTTACCGCGGCTTAAGCGGCTGAAAAATGGGATTAATAGGAGTGAAATTTGGTACTTTTTTAACAATAATAATTATATTAATAGCGATATATTATAGAAATTTTGATGATGTACTTCAAAAGAGATTAGTTGCTGTTTTACATGGACTAGAAAAATTAGAAAACCGATATGAAATTACTGATAGACCAAAAGTGGCAATAGGTTATGGAATTTGCACAGATGTGTCAGTTAGAGCAAAAAAATTGCTACGTTATAATGAAAATGTGGGAAATCCCATGCACTTTGATGAAATTAACACTGATATAGAATTATACAAGAGTTATGCTTATTATTTTCGTCATGGAGCTGCTGCCGAGTAAGTTAACCTATTTTCGTCATTTTTTTTCCATATATTCATCATTTTTTTATTTTCAAATTTATTTCAATAGGCAAATATTTTATAATATTTAATTTTTAAAATAAATTGATATTTGTAATATATTTTTTTTTTCATTTTTTTAATTCATTATACTAACAGAAATTTATTTTTTTCTACCCCTGGAAACAATTTCTATATAGATTTTTTCACACTGAATAATAATCTATAAAAAAAAAATGCTAGTTTTTGAGAAAATTAGTATTAAAAAGTCAAGAAAGCATGTTTTTTAAAATATTTGATATTGAATAAAAAAAAATAAATAAGAGGTACTGAAATTCAAATAAAAGATTAAAACTTAAACAACAAATCTATCTAAAGAAAATTTGATTAAATATACGATAAGGCAATTAAAAATAATTTTTTAATTTACATTCAATATTTTATCATTTGTCATATTTGTGTAACTCAATGAATTTTTCAAGATTGTGAAACAAGTAATTAACAAATGAATGTCATAGCTTTTTAAATTAAAAATTTTTTTTACACAATTTCAGTTTATTTATCAATTTAATTTTTTATTAATTATTGTTTTAATATTTCATATGAAAATGTTAATTTTCAAATTTTTACGTCGATTAAATTCATAATGTTTATGATGAACGATTTAGAAGAATTTTTTGATGAAATATTTTTAAAAGAAAATAATTTGTAGGGTAAAAAATTGATTTTTTTCCAGTTGAAAAATATTTTTTTTTTCAATTATTGATCATAACTTTACCAACGTAAAGTTTTACTATTTTACAGGCTTTGCACTTATATGTACTAAAAGCTACAATTTGCTACTTTTTTTTATAGTTTGCTACTATTTAGCTACTTTTTTTTTAGAAATTTTTCAAAAATATTTTCAATATTACATTTTCTATATAATTTAATAGAAATTGAATTTATTATTGAGTTTAATAAATTAAAAAAATTAAACATTTTTTACTTATTATTGATTATTCTAATTAAAATTAAAGAACAGTTTCTATATCTATTTTACATGTATGTAGGTATTTAAATTATTTTGTAATTTTTTAAATTTAATTCTAGAATTTTATTTTTCATTTAAAATATGATTTAAATTTAACAAATAAATTTTACAGGATGTAAAATATGTATATTTTTTATGCAAAAAAATTATAAAATTTTTCATTTTAAAAAATTATTTCTTTAAAAATCGTTTATCATAAACATTGCGTACTTCAGCTTCGTAAAAATTAGAAATTTTTTGTACATTCATTTATTTCTAAGGATTTCCATATTATCTTGACTTTTTTTTGCAAATTTTTTTTTTTTTATTTTAAGAATTTCTAATTTTTTGTAATTCCTAAAGTTCTCTATTTTTCCTTCAATTTCTCAAATTTTTTGTTTTCTTCAATTTTTTTTTTTTTTTTTCTTTTTTTAATTTAAAACAAAATTTTCGTTTTTTAAACCATTTTTGTTTTACATTTCGTTAATGAATATTATTTTCAAAATTATTTAATTTTTTAAGTCTTATTATAAGTTTTCATTTCAAATCAAAAAAATTATATATTAATTTTATTTAATATTTTTATATTTACTATTAAGTGTCTTATTATAAACATTTATTAGATACTTTTTTACAAATGTAAAATTTTATTGTTTATTGTGAAAAAAAAAATATTAACAATTATTTTTAAGACAATCCCTAATTTTTATTTAATGTAATTTAATGTTTTATTATAAGTTAAATGAATGTCAAATATAAAACTAATTTACTAACTGACGAGTGCAAAACCTGATATTATGAAAAAAATACTTTGTTGTTAAAATTTAAATTTATTAAATTCTTTTTTTTTCCTATTTTCTATTGAATAATATTAGAGAAAATTTCGCAAAAACTAGACGTGCTGATTCATTTTTCTTTACACATTCTTATTTACCGTGAAAAATTCTATAGAAAATAAAATATAGTAAAAATAAATATATAAAAACTATTTCAGGGTAAAAATTAGAATTTTAAAAAACATATTGTTTCCCCAGGCAATTCGACGAAGCTGAAGTACGCAACGTTTATGATAAACGATTTTTAAAGAAATAATTTTTTAAAATGAAAATTTTTATAATTTTTTGCTTAAAATATATTTCTTGTAGTTTTCATTAATCAAGAAATTATAAAAAAATATTTTTTAGGCAAAAAATTATAAAAAATTTTATTTTAAAAAATTATTTCTTTAAAAATCGTTTATCATAAACGTTGCGTACTTCAGCTTCGTGGCAATTCGTTCAATTTTTTTTTTTTTTGAAAATATTTTTAATTTTTTTGACTTGAATTTAATTTTTAGACGCTATATGGGAAATAGAATTCTTTTCGATGAATTAGTGGCGAAAGTAAGAAAAATTTCTACATCTTATTCAACAATTGGAGGTAATGCAGCAGTAATGGCACTTCGTTTTCTAAAAGAAGGATGTGATGTTATTTTAGCTGCAAAAATGACTAAATCATTGAAACAAATGATGCCACAATCGATTAAAATTGTAGGCGGTGAAGTTGAACGAGACGATATACATTTAATACTTGAATATAAAAGTGGCGAAATTTGGGGTCCTTTTAAAAGTTCACGGGCTAATAGGTGCAAAAATAAATAAAGAAATTACTTATTTTTTTGACTAGAATCAATACGTATTATATAAATTTGATCGATTTTGCTAGAAAATTGATGATTTAGAATTTTTTTTTTCTTCATTTTTAGATATATTCTTCACAACGATCATAATAATCCAATGATAAGTGCTCTTGAAGAACTTGATAAAGTACTGCCAGATTTTAAACCAGATTTACTTGTAATTGGTGGTCTTCAAATGATGGACAATTTTCCATTTGAGGACGGTTAGATTTTTTTTCTTTTTAAATTAGCAATTTTCAAAAAAAAAAATTTAAATACAAATTTATTGCATTATCTATTAATAAATGAAAAGGTAATTTTATAGAAATTTTTTTTTTATTTATAGGTGTACGTTCTAGTCGATTGATGAAAGTTCATAAACAAATGATTAATCAGCCAAAATCGACAAAAATTCATTTTGAAATGGCTTCATTTGTTGAACAGAGTTTATTGAATGAACTATGCAATAAAGTGATTCCATTTGCTGATAGTTTGGGTATGAATGAACAAGAAATTGGAAATTTATACAATTCTCTATTATATGGAAATATATCGCTAGTCACTGATTCTACACCTCGTGTGGCAACAATATTAGATCAAATGAGAATGCTCTTTAAATTGATACGCGTTAAGGGAAATAAAATTGATAATTCAAGAGAATTAACGAGAATTCACGTTCATACATTAGCTTATCAGGCTATTTTTACAGTTAAAAATTCTTCATGGAAAAATACAGTGGCTGCAGCTGCAAAAGCATCTCTCACTGCACATCGACATGTTTGTGGCTCACAAGATGTAAGACAATTTATAAGATTTAATTTTTTAAATTTTTTTTATATTTTTAATTTAATGACAATGAATTATGAAAAAAAAAATTTTCAAACAATATTTTGATAGTAATGTGGTATTACATTAAGGACCCTAAAAAACCACAAAACATTCTATTCAGCAATATTTTGATATTTCAAAGTTGAAAATCAATTTCATTTTCTGAGTTTTGTTCTCTAAAAAAAAAATCAGGTTCTTTAAAAACTAATTGGTATAGAAAAAATATACATTTTGTGGAAGAACCTTAAATTATTTTTCTAATCATAATTTCCAAAAAAAAAATTGCCATTATTTAAAAATTCAGTTTCAGCGCTTTTTTTATTATATAAAGAATTTTGCTCAAAAAAGTTAGATATTGTAAAATAAAATTGAATTTTTAATAATTATCCTAGAAACTTTATTAACAAACATTAAAAAAAAAAAATTTTTAGGGGTTTTGGAACATAAAAATCCCTCTGTATAAAGTTTTTGTAAATTTCGATTAATAATTTTTTTTTTTTTGTATTATAAAATAAAATTCTGAAAAAGGAGTTTATTTTCAATTCCACAACGTCAAAATTAAGCTGAAATTTTTTCTTCAATGAATCGTTTTTAAATTTATCAAAATTTTTCATCGACTTAAAAATTATTTAGGATAAATTATAATAATCCTAAATTTAAATTAGTTGATATCATTTATTAATTAAAATATTATAATCAATCTAAATTTAAATTAATTCTAATTTTAATCAATCATCAATTCAATTTATACAAAGAAACTGTTCAAATTTTAATTCATCTAAAATTCAATTTAATTAAATTTTATTCGATTTTGAATTTTTAATTCATCCAAAGTTCAAGTAAATTTAAATTTTAAGTGATCCGGAACTATTAATTAATTTCAAATTTTTATTGATCAAAACAAATTTATTAATTAAAATTTTAATCGAATGCAAATTCAATCAAATGAAACTTAAAAGTTTTATATGAATTTTAATTTATCCAAATTGAAATTGATTTAAGTTTAAAATTATTCGAATTTCAATTTGTTCTAATTTTAATTAATTTTACTTTCAAATTATCCGAATTTAAATTAATTTTAAATTTTAAATTGTTTGAATTTCGATTTATCCAAATTTTGATTGATTTAAGGTGAGGTAACAGACCCAAGTTTGAACAACTTAAATTTAAATTATTAAACGAGGTTATATTTTTTTCTTGCATCATTTGGGTCCTAAAAACATATTTTTTTAAAAAATAAAAAATTATAAAATGGTTAAAAATAAAAAATTTCTTTTTTTGACCACCTTATATGTTTTTAGGATCCAAATGATGCAAGAAAAAAAATATAACCTCGTTTAATAATTTAAATTTAAATGGGTAAAAATTGGTGGTGGTGCCTCCTCTTAAGTTTAAAATTATTCAAATTTTAATTGATAAATAAATAAATAAATAAAAATACTGTGATCCCTGTTCTAGTGAAAAAAGTGAAATATAATAGGAAAAACACGATTTTTTAACTTCAAATTAAAGATTTCCATTAAAATTACTAAATTTAATATAATTTTTTTGTCAGGAAAATTGAAAAATTTATTCTTGCGATCCGTATTATTAAATTAAATAAATATAAAGATTAATGTGATATTCTAAAATTGGTTCCAAATAATTTCCCTTCTTTTTCTTTTTTTTTTTTTTTGAAGGTGAATTTAGATAAAGCCACTCTTATTATGGACGATAGTTTCTCAACGTCTGCAAAATCTTCTGGTTCAAGAATACTTCTTGATGAAAATAAGCCTGTCTCCTGTTGGGATGAAACATTTAATATAAACAATAAACGTATTTTTGTCGAAGTTTGCATAGCACCAGTTTTAGTTTGCACGAAAGCTAGTCAAACAGCAGGTGGTGGGGATAATATTTCAAGTGCAGGATTAGTCCTTCAAATTTAAAAAAAAAAAGAAAAAAAAATAATATTTGTCAATTTAAAGACGAAATGTTTCGAAAAACGGCTTAAAAATTACCTTACAATTATGATTAACCGTTTCTTTTATATATATAATTGCATTTACGAAACATTTTGCATAATATTTTCATTCCGTTATCGGCTGTTATTTTTTATATAGGGTATGTATGTAAATGTAGTTGTTGTGAAGCAAATGCAACGAGCAAATTTTTGAAAGTAACGAATTATGTAGCAAATAATTTTTTTTTTCTTTGTCTACATAATCATCGTGCCATTATTTCACTGAACATATTATAAAGATAATTCTTTTTAATGATTGGTGATTGTCTAAGTCAACGAATTTCTTTAATATTAAAAAAAAAAGACATTTCTAGAGAAGAAAAAAGACACATCGTGATATTATCTACGTCGAACAATGAAATCAAAAATATGATTGTGAATAATTAGATTTATATAAAATATATGTATATACGTAAACTAAATCACACTGTGTCTGAAGATTTGATGTTTTGCAAGCATAAAGTCAATTGTGTGATTTTGCATTTAATTTTTTGTGCACATGAACTTTAATTTTTTTTTTTTTTTTTTTTTGTTATAAAAAAATATTGTATTTAAGATAACTGGGTCATTATAAACGTTTGAACAGAGTTGCTTGATTATAAAAGAAAAAAAGAAAAAAAAATTTGTAATCAATATGTTAAATTTAAAAATTTTCTAAAATAAATTTAAAACATATTCCGAATTATGTGAGATAATAGAATGAAATAACATTTTATTATTGTACTTACAGATATATTATATTGATTATAAATTTATAATTAAAAAATGGGTACTTATTTATTTATATTTATTTATATTTTACATTTGTGAGATTTTAATAGACCGTTTAAGGCCTTGTAAAAATAAAAAAATGAAATTTTTTTTATCCTTTAATGTTCTGTGACTTTGTAGTTTTGATAATGACCTAAATAAGATTGAATAACATGGAATATGAGATTTGCATTTATTTTACTTATACTATTTTTTATTAGTAATCACAGGTGAAGTTATTTTTTACTATTATAATATCTATTGATGCTTTTTTTTTTTTTTTAAAAAAAGTAAGCAACATATTAAATTTTTGATGAAGGTCTATTGCAACCCCAAGATTATACAATTTACTTATGTAAAAGTTATTGTATTATAAAAAAATAAAATAAAAATCTTTAATTGTTGTCTAATAATTATTTAATTAAATTATATTTCTCCGCTGTTTACGAAAATTACAATTTTAATTTTTTGCCCACTTTAGAATTCAGTCTTGAAAAATTATTTAAATTTGTCAAAATTTAACTGCAGTTAATGGCTTTAAATTTTTTTACTATTTATACGATGCTGAAGTACGCAATGTTTATGATAAACGATTTTCAAAGAAATAATTTTTTGCTTGAAAAATAGTTTTTGTAGTTTTTATTAATCAACAAATTATAAAAAAATATTTTTTTAGGACAATAATTTTTATTGTAATGAATGAATTATTTTTTTAAAATCGTAAGGGTAAGTTTGTCAATTGATACAAATTTTTGAAAAATATTATTCACTGATAGGTATGTTTGAAATAATAATTATTTTAAATTTTACCTAATACAAAGTCCACAACAAATTTTTATTCAAAATAATTCTTTACGAAAATTATACAATTATATTTGAATCTGAACACTTTTTTAAGATAATATGTGACTTTGTGATTCTACATGTAAATATTCTCCGAATAGTTATTTATTATTTTTTATTTGTAAATTATTTTAAAAATATTTCATATTTAAGGTTAATTGTTGTTGGCAATACGATTTTAGTCATTTCCCAAAATATGTATGCAATTTTTCAATAATAAATTTATTGACAAAATATATTAACTTTGCCACATGACAACGAATCCTTTATCTATTTTTGAATTTTCTACAAAATTTTAGCTCAAATCCACAAATATTTTTCAAAAAAATTGAATACAGAGAATATTTACAGGTGAAATTATAACAATCACATGACCTTAAGAGTTTTAAAAAAATAACCGAAATCTTTCATCGAGCTTTTTTTTTAGAAAATCGATTTTTTGGGTTAAAAATGTTTAATTTTTGATTTTTATTATAAAAGTTACTGAAATTATGGAATTTTAATTTTATATATTAAAAAAAAAAAAACAACTGGATGAGAAATTTCTTCGACCTTTGACTAATAGAGCTCTGTCATATTTCTAAAATAATTTCTCAGTTTTTTTTCAATTTAAATTAAACACTTTTTTGCTGTTAAAAATAATAAAGAGTCTGACAATGTTAAACTCGTTCACTTTAAACATTAATAATTTCATATGTATAATTGCAACTTAATTTAACACAAAAATCAATTATTTTATAGTTCATTTATTATATTTAATAGTAATTTTCATTTATTTTTCCTATTATTTCATCAAACTACGAATGTTCCACGAATGTGCGACAAGTTCTAATCCAATTGCTTTTTATTTATTTATTTTTTAAATACTTAAAATTAAAATTCCATAAATTCAGTAACTTTTTCAGCACAATACTTTTATTTCTAAAACTCGAAGAAAAATATTGGTTTTTTTAAAAAAAATTCTCAGAAAACTGTCTAGATTCAATATAATGCACAAAAATTTACAGTGGTAGAACCTTCAGATTGAAGTTAATTAAAACTCACCGTGTTATGTGTAAAAATTATTGTAGTCATTTTTTCCAATCTACCTGTTCCAAAATTTTGTTTTCCGAAAAATTTACATTTTCAAAATTATTATACAGAAAAAAATTTTTACGAAATATACTTTTTTCAAAAAAAATAATAAAGTTACATAAACATTTTAGTAAAATAATAATATAAGAAGAAATGTTCCAGAAAGTATCTTTGGAAAAATTTTTTGTTTTAATTTAAAATTTTTTGAACATTGTTAATTGTTAAAATTATTTAAAAAAAAAAACATTGAAAAAAACAAATTGGTAAAAGTAATCCCCTACAATAAAAAAAAATACAAATTTTTAATTTTTGTCCAATAATTATTTATTTAATTATATATCTCTGCTGCCTACAGAAATTACAATACAACGATAAAAAGTTACGAGAGGTACTTGTTCGAGAAAAATTTATATATATATATATTAATAAAATATAAACAAAAGCCGCTATAGAAAAAATTTTTGTTTAAACTTTTTTCAAATAAGACAAGTAATAATAATACATTTTAAACTTGAAAGATAATTAAAGTTATCTTAATTGATTTTTCCATACAATACAATGAAATTTCAAGCAACAATTGTTTTTCACTTTTTTTTTTTTTTTTTTTTTTTTGTTAAGAATCACAAAACTTTTTTCTACAAAAATTGGAAAAAAGATTATTTAAATTATTGGATAAAATATTTTTATTTTTATCGATGTGAGTTTTGTTTTTTTTTTTAAAAAAAGAACTTTCTTTTCGAATAACTTGACATTCGAAAATCTATGTATATAACAATTATAGTAATTATTTTCTTTGAATTAAAATTTTTTTTTATGTTTTCACTGTGAAAAAATATGTTGAAGAGAAGAAAACATTCACAAAACACAATCACCTTCGTCAATACCAAGCATTCTTAAATCATCGGGTCCTGGTTGTGCCTCATTTTCCTGTTCTGGTTGAGTAATTTCTGGTGGAGGTTGATCCATATACTCGGGACCATAACCAACACAGCCAAGCATACTGTACATTGATGCGTACATAATGCTATTATCCTGGGAATTTGGTTTTGTCTCAGGTATTTCATCTTTTGGAAAAATAATATTCAACGCCTCTTGAAGATCCTCAGGTAGAGGATGTGAATTTTCAGGACGTTTATCAGTTGGTTCTGGTATATCGGAAACGTCAGGTACCATTATTTCACCTAATGTTGGCGGTGGATTTGAATAGGTGATAGGAGGCGTAATTTGTGGCTGATGAGGATGATGAGGATGATGAGGATGATGATGATTTTGAACAAAATTTGGACGTACTTGAAATCTTGGCGGTGGATTTTGAGTGAATGTAACAGGTGGTGGATTATTAAAAATTGGCGGTGGTCTACTAAATGTTTTATCATTTTGCGCTGACGGTGGTGGTTGATTGACAAAATTCGGTGGCGGTTGATTCATTGGTGGCAATGCTGTGGGGACAGGAATTTTAGCTGTCTCCTTCTGATGATCAATAATTGGCTGTTCGATGACTAATTCCTCGGATTGATCCTCAATTTCCATGTCAACGACTTGCTGTATTTTATTTTCCTTGAGAACTGGCGGCGGTGGTGCAACAAGAATTTTCATTTGTGGTTTTAGTGTTGTATTATTTAAATTTAATGGAGTTGCGAGTTTTGTGATGTGAACAATACCTGGTGGATTGATAATTTCACATGGGACTTTTGGTGTATTTTCAAATTTACTCTGAGTATAGGGTAGTGGTAGTGGTTCTCTTTCTGGTAGTTTCGGCTCCTCAACCTTTTTTTTAAAAAGGGGGAGCCGCCCTATAAAAGGGAGTTTCCCTTTTGTTATTGGAGCATTTGTTGTTGTTGTTGTTGTTGTGATGGAGGAGGATTTCTTCGGTGGTGCGGAGTTTTTTTTTAATTTTGAATCATTTGTTTTTTTGTCAAATTTTGAATCGTCTGGCTCGCTGTCTTCGCGACGTTCTTTATATTTGTCGTAACCTCTTTTTGGACTTTCGCGCCAATTACGACGGGGTGAATCGCCTGAATCACGATCACGTTTTCGACGATCGTCATAGTAGTCACGATCACGATCTCTGTCACGATCGCGACCACGTCTTCTGTCGTATTTATCGTAGCGTTCGTATTTATCGTCGCGACGATCATATTTTCGATCGCGTTCATCTTTATATCGATCACGATCTCTGTCTCTGTCACGTTCGCGATCACGATCATCGTCCTTGTCAATGGATTTTGTTTCAACGGGTTTGGGAGGCATGTTGACTTGTTGCTTTGTCCAAAATCCCATATGTGGTTTGGGTATTTCTTTAGGTTCGGGAATTTCTGGTTTGTTGGGCACTTGATTTTTGTCTTCTTCTTTCTTAAGCCAAAATGGTTTTGACGATTCTTTAGCGCCCCAGGCTGCCATTTCATCTTCTTTCTTCTGAAAATTTGTCATCTCATGTTCAGATTCCTGTATTGTTTTTTCAATTCCTTGCTTTCGACAATTCATGGTTTTTATTTCTTCCTCTTGTTTTGCTTTGAGTTTGTCACGTATTGAATTTAATAATTGTCTATCGTCCGTCTCGGGTAAGTGAAGTTCGGAATTTGTTATATTTTGAATTTGCTGTTGAGCAACTTGTGTCCATGGTCCTTTCAATTTAATTCCATGATAATCGATTTCTTCGTTTAAAATTGCTTGCGTTGTTGCCTTCATTTTATTTCTCATGGCAACTCTGATACTTTTCGATGTATCTTGATCAGAATCTGAATCAGTATTTTCTGAATCTGTGGAAGAATCACTGTTGCTACTCTTTTGCTTACGTTTTTTACTTTTCTTTGATTTTTTCTTATTCTTTTTCGCTTTTTTCGGCTTTGGAGTGGGCGCAGGCTGTTGTTGTTCATCTTCCTTATGCTTTTGTATTTCAAGTTGAATTTGCTTGTGCTTCTCTTCAGAGAACGCCTTTTCACGATCAGCCATCCAATCAGTTTCCCAGTGTGGATTCTGTTCTACGAATCGCTGTTAGAAGAAAGAATGAACATATAAAATTGTTTCAGCACAAAATATCAAATGATTCGAATTCAATTTTTCTAATTTTTTACAAAGAAAACTGTAAATTAATTTTTAAAGATTTTTTGTTTTCGATTAAAAATTGTTAACATCTTGTTATTATCTTTCTTTTTGAAATTATTTTAGTATTAATATTTCTTTTTAGATATTTCATTTTTTTACAATTGTCCTTTTTGGAGATTATTTTAGTTTTTAATTTTTTTTTTTTGTATACTCACAGAAAAATTCTCGGAATGTCGTTTTGATTTCAAATGCAAGCTAGCGCAGTGAAGATCGCCGATCCATGCATCGCAGAGTTTACAATACCACGCAGTGGCTGGACTGAAGAATTGCAAACCTAAAATCAGAAAAATCCAAATTAAAAAATCAAGAATAAAATTGAAAATAAAAAGTAATAATTAAAACAGTTGTAAGATCAATAAAAATGACCTTTTTCTAGCCAGTTTCATAAAATTTCTGAAATAAATATAATTTTGCACGGTATATAAAAATTGTTTTCTCGATTTTTGAAATCATCCTTCAATATTATATCTGAAAAGGAGAGGAGAAAAAACAAATTTATTTGTGATTTTTTTTTCTTAAAAATACATTAATTGTTTTCTACATCAAGATACAGTAACTAATAAACATCACACATTTTTGATGTCTTACAAATGGAATTTTTCATTAAATAAAGTTTCTAATAAAATAAATTCAAGTACATTTTATATATTTATTACAACGTAGGCTTAAAGTACACTTCAATTTTTTTTTTATATAAATAACGTTGTTGATAAATTAAAATATCTTAAAAATAAATAACTAATATCTTAATTTTAGTTACACTTAATATTATACACAAGACAATATCAGGTTTGATGTAATCACCTTTAATGTGCACTATTTTTTCACAAACTTTATAAATTTTTAACTTATCACTGTTTTCTTAAAAAAAAATTTTTTTTTTTGGTAAAGAAAACCCATTTTTTTTTTAAAAAAATTTGCTGACCTGTTTCGGAAAAATTTTTGAAAAATACTTTTTTAACTAAATATTTTCAACACATCGCGATTATTTTGAAAAGTCGTGGAAAAATTATTTAAAAAAAAGAAATTATAAAATTGTTATTTTTAAAGAGAAATCGGAAAAAAAATTTATTTATTTAATTTATATAAATGGGTTTACAAAGTTGAAAAAAGCTCATTCGTGCAGATATACTAAATATAACAATTACGTTGAAAAAAACTATTTGAAAACAATAACATTTAAATATTTTATAATTTTCTCATTTAATTATTACTTTTATTGAATTAGTTTTAAATTTTACGATTTTAAAAATAGATAATCGGTTTTATCAAATATTTTTCAGTGGAAATATGGTTAATTTAATTTAGAAATAAAATGAGCAAAAGTGAACAAAAAATTGAATCAAAATTAATAATCTTTTAATATTGGAAAAAAAGTTGAGAGAATTTTGCTGAAAAGTTGAAAATGAAAGAAATTAATTGCTCACTCATTTAAAAAAAATTTAATAAAAAAAAAAAACACAATTTTCAAAACCACTTAAAACTGTGTTCAGAACTTTAAAAACTTTCATAAAAATGTGCACGAAGACTAAATTTTCTTTTTTTAAATTGTCTTTTCGATTTTTCCTTAAAATTTTTTTTTTTTGGTTTTGTTATAATATTATTATTTTGTTATTAAAATTCCATTCAGAGAGTAAATTAAAAACAATTGCTAAGTATTTAATTTGTTTTTAATGAACTATTTTTAATTTCTCTCCGCGGAATTAAATTTCATTTTCTATTAATAAATCAATTAATTTTCATTAATTATTAAGAGTATTTATAACTTTGTTTTTGTAAAAAAAATTTAAAATCACATTTCTCTTCAATACATACCAAGGGCAATATGATATCACAAATCAGCATTCAAGCTACGGAATGTACTATATATTAGTAGAGATCCACTGAAAAATTTATTTACCTTTTATTGGTGTACGTTTCGTTGGCAGGCCAGGATAGTACGGCACTTCTTTTTCTGATCCATCGCCAACGTGCTCGTGCCACGGCATATCTACGATCTTGCGTTCCTATATATACGCAAAAGAAAAATTAATTTTCATTTTTCATTAAATAACAATTAAATAAAAAATTAGAAAACGATTTCTAGTTTTTCAAAGTAAAAAAAAAATGATTTGATTTAAAAGAATAAAAAATTTATTTAAACTATTTAACAAAGAATTTAAAAAAATTAAATAAATAAAAAATAACAACTTACTAAGCAAGTTTCTTTGTGATTATTGCTGTGTAGATGATTCAAATATTCCTTAGCTGTTTTTGGAAAGATATCGCAAACTTTACACCAATGCATTTCAGGATCATAATGTACAAAATTATAAATTGGTTTATCATCTTTTGAAGATTTATTCTCTCTATCAGATTCTAATGGTGCCACTTTTTCAGGCGTTTCAATTTTTTCCGCTGAAAATACTTCTTTTGGACTTTTTGATCGTTTATTCCTGTTTTCTGGCTTGAATTTATTCTTAAGATCATCCACCGTTACTTTATCGCCAATTATGCCATTAAGCATGTCAATAACGTTGTTAATTGATTTCATTTTATTTTGAATCTCAACCTGTATGTGAATATGATAAATAATCGATAAGAAATTAAATAAAAAAAAAAATAGTGACAAAAAAGATTCATTTAAATAGAAAATTATTCCCTAGGAAAAATTATGTAAATTTTGTATTTTGTAATTTTGTAAGTTTCTTCAAATAAATTTTTTTTTAAAAAAACACGTATGTCTTTTTTTCTATAGAGAATTCGAAAAAAAATTGTTTTAATCCACAAAAAATTTTAAATGAAAATCTCAAGAATGTCCCATCTATAAATGAAAAATGTTATTTATTTACCTGAAGTTTTTGATTTTCCTTGATAATTCGATTATTCTCACATCCGCCTTCCTTGCCGATTTCATCGCATTGTTGCCTCAAAATTTCCAATTCACGCTGAAGTGTTGCCGATTTCTTAACATATTCTTCCCGTTGTTTCGCTAGTGTTGCTTTTTGTTGTTTCACTTCAGCTGCGATTGCTGCTCGATGTTCAATTCAAAAGGCATTGAAGAAATATGAATGATGGGATGAGAAATTTATTTAGTTAACAAAATTGAAAATTATTCAAAATTAATGTTTATATATATATATATTAGAGGATTATATTTCAAATTTTAATTAATTAGATTTAGCAAATAAATGTAAATCTAATAAACAAAAAAATTCTTTTTTACTATTAATTATATTGAATATATTAAACAAACATTAAATATAATTGTATTGAAAAAAAAAAAATGATGCAATAAAATTTTTACTTGCATGAAAGGATTGCAATCTTTAAAAAAAGTATCTAGAAGTAAATACATTAGTGATAAAATATGTACAATTTTTTTTTTCAGATAAAAAAAAAAAAAAGAAAAACTATTTTACGCACCTTCTTTCTTTGCATCCTCGGGTCTTGGTAATGTTGGTGGCACCATTCCTGGTGGAACTGGTTCAACATTTCGCGATTGTTCCTGTGCAGTTGAAAGTGATGGTGGCGGCGGTGCTTGTTGATTATTATATGATACTTGATTTCCTGGCCAATTGGGAGGTGGATAATCCTAGAAAAATTAATTTTCACCCTTATTCACTCGATCATTTATGAATTTTCCATAAAACCTTACCTTATTACATCCTTTTTTTTTTGAAATCAGGAATTTGGGAAAAACAGTGAAGAATCTTCAAAGTAGAAACGCCTTTGTTTTTTTTTCGGTATTTTCGCAGTTGACAGTGAGATCAGTAAAAAAAAAACAATAAATAACGCGAATTTTTCATACTTACTCTACACACAAAACGCTTCGTAATATTGTAATAATACGAAAGAAAAAATTATTATTGTGTAAAAATCACTATATTTAATCGAAAAAAAACATATATTTTCGATTATGTTAATTATATATCTGCTAGGTTAAACCCTTCGTAAACACGTCGCGCGACTAATCTAGCAAATTAAAGCGCTTTATGATTGAAAAATATATTTAAAAAATATTCCCACTATTTTCACATAGTGTGCGCTTGTTTTTTTTTCACACAGCCGAAGATCTAAAATCCTATTGCTAGAAAGTTTTTTTTTTTTTTTTTTTTTCTTGAAACATAGTTAAAAAATAATAACAAAATATACATTGAAGAGTGTTTCAGAAAAAAATATTATTTTCCAAGACTTTTTATATTTATATTAAAGGAGGTTAAATAAATTAGTTTATTAAATTAAAAGGGTCAATCCATTATATTTAATTTATAATATATATATTGTGGCCTAATTTTAGAAATATCTAATAATTTGTAATAATGATTTTTGATAATTATACAATTAATTTATGTTATTTTAAAATTATTTTTAACATATTTACTATGGAATGAATGACATTTTAATGAATTACAATAGAAATAAAATGCTGATTCAGAAGAAAAAATATTTTTCTATACAAATTATTATAATTTTTTGTCAGTAAAAATTTTTTTAATGTTTTTCGATCAATAAATTTTTAAAAGAAAAATTTGTAGTCATATTTTATTATTTTCTGCATGAAAAGTATTTTCTATTTTTAATTAAAATTTAGACAAATTGAAATTCAGTTAATTTTAAACTCAAATTAATTAAAATTTGAACAAATTGAAATTTGAATAATTTGAAACAGAAATCAATTACAATTTAGACAAATTAAAATTCGTATAATTTTGAAACTTGAATCACTTAAAATTTGGATAAATTAAAATTCGAATTTCGTTAATTTTAAGTCTTGATCGCTTGAATATATGCATTTAATGAAAATTTTAAGTAATAAATTAATAAATAAAAAAAAAATCTAATTGTAAAATTAGAATTGATTAAAAGTTGAATCAGTTAAAATTTAAATTAAAATTTTGAATCACTTGAGGTTTATATCGATTAAAAATTTAAATTGAATAAAATTAAATATCGAATGAATTAAAATTTGAAGTTTCAAATTTGGATAATTTGAATTTTGGATTCATTGGAATGAGAATGAATTATCGCTTTAAATTTTAATTAATAACTTGTTGAATTAATTTAAATTTAATTTTTTTTTAAATCTGGCCTAAATAATATTTAAATTAATAAAAATTTTTTTTGATATAATTCAAGCTTAGATCAATTGAATCATTTTTGGAAAAGATAAAAATCTGTAATTATGTATTCTTTAAATTATTTTAAGTTCACGTTTGTTAAGAAAAATCTTTTAGAACTCTGTCACATTTTTCGAGAAACACAGTAACTGCATATGTTTCTCGAAAACACGGCAGAACTAATAAATTATTTTTCAACATTCCTGAGTTTAGATCAATGCTTTTTACATTGTAAATTTAATTATTTTTTTTAAATATTACATCCGCAAAATAATCGAACTATGAGAAAAATGACAAAGGCAACAAATTTTCAAAAAAAAAAAGGTGCATATCCTATGATCCCTTCTAGAGATTAAAAAAATTGTTAAAACTTTTTACGCATACAGGAAGGCGACTTAAATTATTGGAGCAAAGACAACAAAACATTATACATCATTATTGGACAAATAAATTATTTTCAACAATAACCAATGATAAAATTTAAATTATCTAAATTATTTCTATATTTGTCATTTTATTAACATTTTACAGCTGATAAAATAACTTTTCATTCGTACAATTCAACTTGAAAATTTAAATTCCAAGGTAAATGTATTGAAAAATGTATAAAATAATTGGGAAAAATGAATTGTATGGATATCGAAAATCATTATTAAGAATAATCAAATTTTTTCTCCAAAAAAATTAGGCCTCAACAACTTTGGATAAAATATACATACGGTGAAGTTCACAAAGTTTATGATCAACGATTTAGAAGAAAAAATATTTTTTTTAAATTATTCTAATTTTTTGCCTGAGAAAATATTTTGCAACGTTTTTTTAGTGAACAAATTTTTCAAAAAAATTTGTAGGTAAAAAAATTTTATTGTTCTTTAAGTGAAAAAATATTTGTTTATTTTTAATCGTTGATCATAATCGTTAAATTCACCGACTTATAAAATATAATGAATTAACTCAAAACAAGAAAAATAATTTTATTACAAATTTTAAATAAATTTTGCATTCAATGAAGAATACAAAAATAAATAAATCAATTTAATTCTTGGAAAATTAGTTTTTCGAAACGTTCAATAAAGTTTTAAACATAAATTTAACAAAGACCGCTCTTTTTGTTGAATGTCTTTTGTTGAAGATATATTTTAAGACTAGGTTAACTTACGCTGCGATAGCCGGGCGGTTGTTGATAAGAATATTCATATCCTTGACCATAATTGTAGCTATAATTGCTGTAACCTGGAGCGTATGCACCTATCTGTGGGGGTGGTTGTGTTGTATTTGGTGGAGGCGGAGCCTAAGAAGCAAAAATAAAAAAATTTTTTTTTTAAGTATTATTACTTCATATCAAAATTAAGCATTCTAAGTTGACTCGCATTTTTTTTTATATATTTGCCAAAAAAAACATATAGCTCTTGATCTCTTGGCTTTTGAAATAAATATGAAATAAAAAACTAATATTTCAAATTTACACATATTTTTTTTTGGTAAAAAAAAATTAGAAAAAAAATTACAGTTTGTTAAGAATTTTTAATATTATCTACTTTAAAAATTTTTTGTCTAAAAAATGAAAATAGAAAACAACACCCAAGCTTTATAGTGTTGCATCTAACTAAAAAAAGTATTAAATTTAGGAATTATCACCAAGATACAAAAAAGTTTCAGTTTTCCATAGACTTTCAAAATATGTTAACGAAAAACAAAATTTTGCATTTTTTTTTAGAAAAAACAACGATTTTTTATAAAGAAATTAAATTCTTTTAAATTTGGTCGCGATTTATTTTTATTTTTACACACATGAAAATAATAAGAAAATTTTGTAATAAGTTTTGAAGTGGGCCTGATGAACTTTATGTTTATATAATTTGTTTTAAAAAAAAATTTTCACTTTTTTTTTGTTTTTTTGTTTATTTTTCGAAATAAAAAGTGTTTTAGACACTAGAATCTTTTGGTAAACTCATAGAAAATAAAATTAAAATATATTTTATTTCGAAAAATTAAAATGAAAAAAAAGTGAACATTTTTTTAAAACAAATTATATAAACAAAAAGTTCATCAGGCCCACTCCAAAACTTATTACAAAATTTTCTTATTATTTTCATGTGTGTAAAAATAAAAATAAATCGCGCCCAAATTTAAAAGAATTTAATTTCTTTATAAAAAACCTCGTTGTTTTTTCTAAAAAAAATTCAAAATTTTGTTTTTCGTTAACATATTTTGATAGTCTGTGGAAAAATGAAAATTTTTTGTATCTTGGTGATAATTCCTAAATGTAATACTTTTTAAGTTAATAGAATTTTTTTTAAAAAACGTATCGATTAATTTATTTCAAAAATTTTACTATAAATTATTACAAAATTATTAATGTTGCATAAATTATCAAAACATTTCTTTTTAAAAATAATTTTAGTTTAAAATTTTTATTATAAGTTCGTAAGTTGTTATAAATTAAGGTAGCATTACACTTTACAACGTCAAAAAAATCGAATTTTTTTTTTTGCATTTTCCTGTTCCAAATCATCTTGGAAATATAATCCAAAAATATTAAATCAAAATTTAACGAAATAAAAAAGTTACACAATAAAATGCAGCGCAGTGTATTCACGCATATAGCGCCAGTTTTGCGTTTTTTATTTAAAGAAGCAAGTATAATTTGTTTACTTAAAAATTTACAAAATTTTCTTACGCACCATTCAAAAGAGCGGTTCTTGTCACATAAGAAATGGCTATTGCAAACTTTTTTTTATAGAGTTTAATTGCGAAAATACAGCGTCAAACCTTGATAAAAATTTGTACATTTGCGGGAAACCGATTATTTATTCCTTTTCAGTTTTTAGCTATACGACCCAAAAACTGCCCAAAAAAACCCCTTTTTTTGCAAAATTTTTTGAATTCGCTGCCATTTTTAAATATTTTTTATCGGGCAAGGCACAATGCTCAACCACGTGTCTCAGCTATAAAACGATTTTTTTTTTGTTTTTAAATCCGATGACCCTAAGAGGCTGCAGCTTGTCCGCCGATTGACCAAATTTTTTTTTGACCTTGACTTCAGTGCCCTCTGGTGACCAGAAAGATCCAATAAAAAATTTTTTTTTTATTTTTTCTTGAAGAACTATTTGTCCTTAATATTGTACAGAAAGTTTCTTTTCTTTAAATACAGTAATTAACGAGAAAAAAAGTTTTGTTTGAACCCTTTTTTTACTGCTTCTAAAGTGTAATACTACCTTAATAAAAGCATGAATTATTGGACAGTTTTAATTCAAATTTGTTATTTTCTTTGATAAAAATATAAATATTTCCTGATCCTTGTATTGTTAAATTTATATGGTTTAAGTATATTTATTAAAAAACAAACTACTTAAGGGGAGAAATCAGTGAAATTTAAATCTTTCAAAATTTACGTTGTTTAATTGAGCCAAATTTTTTTCTGACGTTATTTAAGGTCTAAAATTATTCTAAAATATTCAAATTAAAAAAAATATTTTTGTCAACTACAGAATTTTTAAATACTTTAAATATTGTCAGAAAGTAAATTAACACCTCTAAACAACATAAATTTCGATAGATTAAAATTCTTTACTAGCAGAATTTTTATTTTACAGAACTTTTAATTTGTCCGAATAAGTATCGGTCCAAAAAATTTGTGTGTAAATTTTTAAGTAGTTTAAAAATTTAGAAACAAATTTCTCGAACTGATATTTCTTCGGACAAATTAAAGTTCTGTAAAATAAAAATTCAGCGTTTTAAAAATATTGGGGTCAGTCCACTGACTTTCGTCTAATAGTGATTGCGACCAAAATTTAAAAAAATCTAGTTTTAATATATGTGAAACTTGATGATTCCCTGAGTTCATTAACCATAATATTATGGTAAAAATTTTATTCCCTTTAAAAATATTAAATATCAAAAGTAGGAGGTTCACAATGTGATTTTGTAACCTTAAATTTTTCAATTTTTTTAAAAACGCTATTATTAAGAAACTATTAAAAATTAGATGTTGGAACTCACCAAAAACATAAATCACTTTATTCTGCACAGAGGAACGAAAGAATTATTGCAAAAATTTATTATTTTTGAATGATATACAATTTTAAAAAAAATTTTATTTAAATATTCTCAAGATTTTTATTTACTTATAATTTTTTTGTCGGTGCTCCGAAAAAATTGAGGTTTTGCACAAAGATTTTTTATAATATTCTTTACCTTTTATTAAAATCTTACGAAGGTGTTTTGCTTCGTTTTGGAGATATTAATTTTCAAAATTTTTTATTTAAAAAGGTTAATTAAAGTTAACTGACCAATTTCAAATCGCTACATTGTAATATATTTTTATAAAAAATGGAGCAGTTTGAATTTGGTTAGTTAACTTCAAGTCTTTTAATTAACCTTTTACATAAAATTTTTTTAAAATTAATATTTCCAAAACGAAGCAAAACACCTTCGTAAGATTTTAATAGAAAGTAAAGAATATTATAAAAAATCTTTGTGCAAAACCTCAATTTTTTCGGAGCACCGACAAAAAAATTATAAGTAAATAAAAATCTTGAGAATATTTAAATAAAATTTTTTTTAAAATCGTATATCATCAAAAAATAATAAATTTTTGCAATAATTCTTTCGTTCCTCTGTGCAGAATAAAGTGATTTATGTTTTTGGTGAGTTCCAACATCTAATTTTTAATAGTTTTTTAATAATAGCGTTTTTAAAAAAATTGAAAAATTTAAGGTTACAAAATCACATTGTGAACTTCCTACTTTTGATATTTAATATTTTTAAAGGGAATAAAATTTTTACCATAATATTATGGTTAATGAACTCAGGGAATCATCGAGTTTCACATATAGTATTAAAACTAGATTTTTTTAAAATTTGGTCGCAACCACTATTAGACGAAAGTCAGTGGACTAACCCATTGTCAAATGTAAATTTCAACAAATAAAGAAAAAAAGAAAAGAATTCTTTCTAATATTCTTTCTGTAAAATAAAAATTCTTCTAAATGACTATTATATCTAATAAAAATTCGAACAAAAAGAAAATAAATAAAGTCTGTAAAATAAAATTTCGTTTATTTAACAACTCTGTAATCCAAAAATTCGGTTAAATGAAATTTTCGTTAAATAATAATTTGAATGTACCTTAAGTTTTGATCGTTCAAACGAACGAAAAATTTATATTCTTAAGAATTTATATTTCTTAAAAAAAATGAAAATAAATTATGTTATAAAATAATTATATTTTGAAATTTTTGTGTTAGATTTGTTTATAAAATAAGTTATAAAGTAGAAATTAATCTTTACCTTATTCTAGCTAATACATTATTTTAAAAAAGTATTTTATTTATTTAATTATTAATACAAAAATAGATATTATTTATTTTTCATTGCTGTAGTAATTTTTCGTAAATTTATAGACAAAAAACAAATGATTTTGTTAATTTCAACGTTCAGAAATTTCGGCAAATTAATTCGGGTATCGGTCATTTGTATTATTATTTAGAAAAAAAATTTATTCACAATTAATTTTACATCAAATTTACTTACCTGATATGATGCCTGAGGTGGAACATAGCCCGCTGATGTTGCAGTTGTTGTTGATGGTGCTGGAATTGAAGAAGGTACTTTATTCCAATCTTGAGATCTATTTGTTTTTTCTCTTCTTCTATCGCGAGATGATGATCGTGAACGACGATCTCTCGATCGTGATCTTCTATAACGAGATCTCCTTGGCGATGGTGATCTGTCATATTTTCGTGATCTTCGACGATGTCCATCATCGGAATCTTCACTTGGACTTCTTTTTCGTCTAGAATCTGACTCCATTTTTTTTTCTTTCTTTTATTTAACAATATTTTCTGAAATAATTGAAAAAAAAATCACATATAATAATGTAAAAATATATAAAAAAAAAAGTTTTATTTTCTTCACAAAATATAATACAAACATAATTTCAAACTAATGTGATGAAATCAGTTTTTTTTCAGGTTATACTAACATTAAAATACAATAAAGTAGCAAAAATAAGATGAAAAAATATTTACCGGTGGCCATAAATTTTTAAACAAGCAACACGCAATATATATGCATATTTATGATAACGTTGATAAAGAAGTGTTTTTATAAGAATTATTATACATTTTTTGCCATTTGAAACTTATACAACGAATATTGAAATTACTAACTACAAAATTGCACATTATTAATTGTATATTATATAAAAAAAAAGAAGAATCACTAAAACTATATAGACAAAGATGCGGCCATTCTTCAAAGTTTTATTAAATCTATAATACTCTCTAGAACGTCAGCAAACAAGCTTTTATAGATATAGAAAAAGAGTTGACTTACTGTATAGATTTTCTGCAAGTATATTGTGCCAAACGACAATCAATAAATCAATATAAAGATTACATTATTAACAGTAATATATTACTTTTTTTGATTGCACTATTAGGCACTAATTTTTTTTTTTGCACTTATAAAAGAAGCCGACTGAATAGGAAATGATTGGAAAATAAAATGGAGCGTGGTGAAATTGTCAGGAGATAGAGGGGCAACCGGAAATATAATATATGAAATATATCGACTTTACACTCTAAACTAACTTCAGACTAGTTGCTTTTATCATTTGCCCTCTGTTGATTCATCTGTTGGTAATCTATTTAAATAGCGCGAAAATTTAAAATGTCAAATATTTATTAGAGAATTAAATTTCATTATTAAATAATATTAGAAAACATTTTATTCTATATATTAAAAAAATATATAAAAATTTATTGTTTTTTACAATTAATGTACAATTTTGAACAAGTAAAGGTAAAATGCTTCGATGTATGTCGGGTTGCATGTGGTCAGGCTATTATGTAGCCAGTCAATACTCGCTTATATGGTAAAATCTCCCTATTAATTTCATATTTCTTCATCAGTATTATTAATAATTTTAATATTATTAATATTTTTTTTATTTATTGCTATTGTGTGCTTTATTTGTTAAATTATTTTATCTTGCAAAAATGGAAAAAAATAGTTTATTGTTAATTTTAACAAGAATACAAAACAAAATTAATTTTACATTACTGCAACGAAAGTTAATCAGATGTTGGGGTGTATCCACAATGATCATATTATGTTAGGTTGCTTCCACAATAGACAAAATCGTTTCGTCTTATAGACGATTTTCAAGACAAAATAATTCCCAATCATGGAAAATGTATGTTTGCGAATTGTTTTGTCTTGAAAATCGTTTTTAAGACGATACGATTGGTTGGTTTGCATTATCGCCATTTGTCATAATTCTCGTCAACTACCGCACCCTGCTCTAGTAAAAATTTAGTAACTTCGCATAGTAACTTTTAATTTTAACAAGAAAGTCACTAAAATTTTACTAGAGCAGGGTGCGGTAGTTGATGAGAATTATGACAAAGTTGGAAGAGGACCAGCATGAAAAGGTCTAGTCCAAGAAAACCATGAGTGCAAAAGAGATAGCTAGACTACCTATCTCTCTTGCAATCATAGTTTTCTTCAGAGATGGGTACGTAGAAAACCTCGAGTATAATACAAGGTATTTTACGTGTAATATACACTATTATACATGAGTTTTCTACATGTGTATTATACATAAGGTTAATTTTGAGAAACATAACCTTGTATTGGGATCGGCTAAACTGCAATACGCCATCTGGTGGGGACGCATTCTCTCCCTCCATTTTCTTTCTTTGTCTCTCTTCAATTAATAGGTTAGAAAGAGTAGAAAAAACAAAATGGAGGGAAAGAATGGGTCAAAGTTACTAGATTGTTACTAGACCACCGTTCCCAATTATACTCGAGGTTTTCTACGTACCCATCTCTGAAGAAAACTACGATTGCAAGAGAGATAGGTAGTCTAGCTATCTCTTTTGCACTCATGGTTTTCTTGGACTAGACCTTTTCATGCTGGTCCTCTTCCAACTCATGCGTCATTGTATGTGCTAGATAAGGACAAAACTAACACAGCATGAGAAGGTCTCTTGTTCTTGTATTTTGTGTCTATTTTGTATTCACCTTTAATATTGACCACATATATTGACACCGGCATAAACTTGAAGGTTATGTTCACCGGCAAAATTGTTATATTAAAATACTTCAAATTAAAAACAGAACAGAATATCAAATGTCTTAAAATGAGACACGTTTTTCTACAGTGTTTTGAACGAACGTATTACCAATATAATATAATGTAGAATATTGTGTAGTAAACATAAATATAAATATGAGTGTTTGGTAGAGGATAAGTTTTACGAAAATAAAAAGCAAGAAGAAATGAGAAGTGGAAATAGAGAAATAAAAGACAAGTTTCACGCAGTACCACGAAACAGAATTACGAGACAGCCACTGAGTGGAGGGAATGGGAAATTGATTAATGGTCGAACTGTCAATGTGGTTTAGTGATAAGCAACCGAGACTGAAACCTCGCCGATTGAAACGCTCTACTAAGCACCTGCGAATGTGATTTTTGAGGTTTTAGATAAAAGTATAGAAGCCTTCATCAATTCTCTTTCTCTCTCTCTAGTTTTCAACAATTTTCATCCCTCTCTTTCTCACACACAAAGTTGAAAGGTATGACAAAAATAATTTATATATAGATATAAAAAGAAATTCGATTTAACATAAAATATGACAAATATATATATACTAGGGAGGCTTCGCCCCCCTTCGCGCTTCGCGCGCCAACCCCCTATTTTTTATTGGTTTTGTAGATGTTTAAGTTCAATTGAATTGAATTGAATTGAATTGAGTTGACAATTTCTGGAATTTAAAACTATTATTAATATTTTATTATTTATTTCTTTAAATGTCATTTACGATTTTTATTAACAATAATTTTTATTTTCAATTTTTAAAACAAAATTTATCTAATTTTTTAAATTTTCCAGCTAAAATTTGACCTACATTTAAGGTTATGTTCGTTTTTTGGTCATTTTCCTTCAAAGTTTGACCTAAATTTTGAGGTTATGTTTGTTTCTTGGTCGTTTCCCGACAAAATAACTTAACCTTAAAATTTAGTTTGAGCCACCCAAAAATTTTGCAATTATGAAGGGTTCTTGCTGGAAATTCATTTGTCGACTTGAAGAGGTGTCAAAACTTCATTTCCATATTGGAGAGAAAGGAAATACAAATTTTTGTTATTTTTTTTCACTTTTCAGATCAGCTTCGCGATACAAGTGAAAATCTGAAAATTACACAATAAGGGCTTTTTATTCGAATTTCGTGGTTCCTTTACACATTTCCAAGTGTATTTGTACTTTTGTTTTTTTTAAAAATAATTTATGATAATTTGTAATTTTTTTTAATTGCTTTTTTTAACATTAAAAACATTTTTTGTTTGTTAGTTACTTTGGAATATTGAAAATTTTTGCTTTTATTATACCTTGGTTATTTTTTACATAACATTTAAAAAAAAAACCGTTATGTATAAAATAACAAATTTAAAAAAAATTTAAGTTATAATTAAAAAATTGAAAAAAATAACAAAGTAAAAAAAACAAATATTTTCTATGTTCAAAATAACAAACAAAATTTTTTTTAATTAAAATTACAAAAATATAAACATTGAATGTATACTGAATAATTTTTTTATCTTCATTTCGTTTACCAAATTCAGAAAATATTATTTGAACAATTTTGAAAGAAATTTTTTTGACAAAAAAAGTTAAAGAACCTTTTTTAAATATAAAAAAATTATTTAAAAATTCATTGAATATATATAATTCAATTTTATTAGATAATGTATCGTAATCATATTATATGAAACCTGTTTTGATAGGTATGAAATAATTAATTACATACAGTGATTGAATTATTTGATATTATAAGCAGTGTTATATACTCAAAATGATGATGATGATCATAACCCATAAGCATTGGCGAGGTTGTCCGCAGTCATCGAATAAAATTAATCACTGTCGAATTATATGATTCAATGCTTAGTAAAGACTTCCCTCTAAGCTGTGATCTAATAATTAATTAATTAATTATTTATTGATTGACATTTTAGTTGATTTGACAATCTTTAGTAAAGATTATTGTCTAATACTATATGAAATTATCTTTAATCAGCAAATTATTATATTAATTATTACCAATTATGTATATTGTATCTCTAATCTAATTTTTATTAATTCATATTGAATATAAATAATTATTTAATAATATTTATTATTATTATTTAACTAGAAAAATTAAACGCGCGCAAGCGCGCCAAATTGAGTATTTAATTGTTTGTTATAAAGAAATTAAAGATTAATATTATCAATGATAATTTAATTTATTAGAATATTATTACATATTAAATGATAATAATGAAAATTATATGTTTACAGGCCTCGGATTATACGACTTTTTCCGACTTTTTTTAAAAATACGACTTTTATCGACTTATTTTAATAAAATGCGACATTTTTTTTTACATTTGAAAAAAAATGTAAATAAAATACATTTTTTTAGTATAAAATGTAGATCTTCTTCAGATCTTCTTCAATTCAATTATTTAACAAATTTTGAACTAAAATGATTCTTCACTAAATTAATTATTTTTAATAATTTTAATGAAATACATCACAAATTCAATTATATCAAAATTATTTTTCAATTAAAAATTTTATGAAATTTAACAATTGTTTATAATTTAAAAAAAAAAATCACAATAAAATTGAATTATTTTTTAAAAATTTCAATTCAAAATAAACTAAAATTCAATTATTACCCGAAATTTTAATTCAAAATCAATTCAAAATCCAATAATTATCCAAAATTTTCAATTTAAAATTTAATTATTTACCAAGTTTTCAATTTAAAATGAAATAAAATTCAATTATTTTCTAAAATTTCTATTCATAATTAATTATCCAAATTTTCAATCAAAAATGAACTTAACTTAAATTATTATCCAAAATTTCAATTAAAATTCAATTATTTCCCAAAATTTGCAATTTAAAATGAACTGAAATTCAATTATTTTCCAAATTTAAAATCAAATAAAATTTCATTATTCTCAAAAATTTGAAATCAAAATTAATTGAATTTTCAATAATTTGAGTTTAAAAGCATCTAAAATTTAATAACTTCTAAAATTTTCCATCGAAAATTTTTTTTTGAAATTTAATCATTTCAATTACAACTCTAAGGAAATTCAATTATTTTTAACTATTTTAATAATATTCTTTGAAATTTCAACTACATATCTGAAACCATTTTTCAATTAAAAATGATTTTCAAATTATTGTATTTTGTCCGCATTTTCTAATAAATTTTTAGTGAAATCATCTAAAATTTTAATTACAAAACATTTAAAGTTTCAATTAATTTGAAAAATCTCAATTTTAAATCTTTGAAAATTCAATTAAATTTAAAAAATGTTTTCCAAAAATTGTTTGATAAATTTATTTTAGTTCTGTAAAATTTAATAATTGTTTGAAAATTAACAATATCTTTTAAAATTTAATTATTTCTAAAAATTTCAACTTTAACCCTTCGAAAAGGATTATTATTAAAAAAAAATTTTTTATTTAAAAATCTGTAAAATATTTTTGTTAAAATAAAAAACAAATCCACTTTTTTTGGAATATAAATCAACTAAAACGACTTTTTGTGTCTTTAAGTTGATTCGAGACCTGTGTTTTTATAATTAATATTTAATAGGTATTCGTTGGCCCTTGGTACCTTAAAAATTAATTTTTTTCAAATTACTCTCTTCGTGAATTGAATTTTCGAATTTGGAATTTTAAAGAAACTTATTTCGAAATTTGGAAACACAATTATACAACTTTGGCAAAAATGAGAAAAAGAATTGTCAAAATTTGACACGTCATAAGATTACTATTCAAAAAAACACGTGAAATCAGAAAAGGCCAACTTCAAGTTAGGACAGAAGGACAGACCAAGCATTTTATTATTATATAATTGTATAATACTTTATTATTACATAAATAAAATTAATATTTGATAAAATATAAAATAAATTGTTTTTGTAATGAAAAGGTCTAAGTACGGTTTTTTTGGATATATATTTTTTATTAGAAATTCCAACTAGTTTCGAACATTTATAGTTCCTCTTCAGGGGATAAATTAAAAGTTACATAGAGATCGTCCGTTTATTGGAGTCCAGTTTTTTTTATTCAATATTTTCTGAAATCAATATGCTAATAATTTTGTTTACACTGAAAAAAAATTATTCCACTCAAATACTCGGTTATTTTATTAATTATGAATTATTAATTTAATATTATTATTAATTTTATTTGAACAAAATAATTTTTTTTTGAACGAATAATTTTTGTATTAAAAAAAAAATAACATTTAATTATTCTTAAATAATAATTATTTACAAATAAATTATTTATTTGATAATTAGTAAAGTAACAGATTTATTTGAATGAAATAAATTTCTTTTTCAGTGTAACTATATATAGTCTGCGTTGATAGGTGTACTTATTTGAAAAATATGTACTAGCTATTCTTTATAATCTCTCGTATATAACTCATTTTTAAACTACTATATAAAACTTCTTGAAAGCTGCTTCTCAACTATAAATACCCATAAATAATTAAGACCTTTGTGAATGAATCTTGGCTCTTTGACAGAAACTTTCGAAAGAAGAACAATGCTGGACAACGGGTCTTTAAGAAATAAAAGAAAACTTTGGCAGCAATTCCAAGTTAAAATATTAAAAAAAAAAACACAAATTTTAACATTTATTATTCAACGTTGCTTCTTCATGAAAAAAAAAAAAATTTCACATTAAATCAAGCAAATGTACTATTACAAATTCTAACAAAAATATTTAAAATTATCCTATAGATAATAATTCTTGCGATAATTTTAAACATTTTAATTTAATTAATTAATCTTATTGTTATTATCGATTTTTCCATTTACCATTAATTATTTAAATTATTAATATATGATAATTAATTCAATTATTTAATATAATAATTATTTTTCTAAAAAATTTTTCTCGGATTTTGCAAATACATAATTGTATTTTTTTTTTTTGTAATTTGAAATAAATATTTTATAATAAAAAAAAAATACAATCTTTCCAACAAGTTTGAAATTAATCGGATCAAAATCTAGTTAAACGATACTCTTGTATACATAATATATACAGGTATACGGTATATACTACCAGGTGCGAGATTAATATCTTTGAAGATCATAAAATCTGTATTCGGTTGTCAAAAGTATAATAAAAAGTAAAAAAAAAAAAAGAAATGGAAAAACACCAGAAAGAAAGAATATATTTGAATATTCACGTTATTCTAGAATGTATTCTTGCTTTATATATATATGGGTGTCTTTTTGTCAAAAACGTCCACTGGTGGCTAATGAATTCCGACGTACAAATTATAACTCAGATCTTTTTTTTCAAAGGACCCAACTTGCCGTCATATGAAAGCTCAACGACTCTTCAAGAAGTAGTTGATGTAGGGAAGAAGTTTCGAAGTTGGTGTTTAAATTAGGTTTGTCGTTTTTGTGGGATTTATATATATATATACCAGTTTCATGTTTTAAAATACTATATATTCAAGAAAGAGAGAGGGAGATTCCCCTTTCTTTT